TCAAATTTAAATTCTAAAGTTGATTTTCATTATAAACTAATCTGAACAGGATTTTCAAAACCCTCCCTATAGAGACACCTTCAGTTTGCCTTCCTTAATCTTAACAGTTACGTCGAAGCTGTCAGTTTGTTCTAATATGTGTCGCAGCATATACATACTCATAATAATGGTACGTCCCTGACCTTTCTATATGTCTCGCGAGCCTTTAGTATAGTATCACAGGTCTATTGTTACAGCTGCCGAATGATTCGGAGTTCCTGAACTGCTCTGGCGCTATGTTAGTAATTGCTATCAATTTTTTCAGAGTTGTTTCACCAACGCTGAGTGTCATCTAATGTGTGGTGTGAAACAAGAGATCCCGTATTTCCATTGTTACTCATAATGGTCCTACATGAGACTCTAGAAAGCCTTGACCTATTAACTCATCTGAATGTGGACGGAGAGGCCCTGGATTACCTTGCCTACCCAAACGACCTTGTCACATTTGAACCATATTCAACACTACTCCATAAGAAACTAGATAAGATCATATAGTTACTGGAGCAGGTGGGTTGGTCTGTAAATGACAGAAAAAACAGAACTATAGAACTACATTCTGGGAGACATTATAAGTTAACGGCGCTTGTGCGCATTTAATTCTCCACCGGTGGAACCTATATCCCTCAGCTAACACCTACTGATACATTTGAATACCTCGGTGTACTCTTTAACTACAAAGGGCCGTGATATGACGGGATAAAAAGGTAAGATTACATTTTGACTCATCGTGGTTTTTCGTGAACATTGCTTCAGTTTTTAATTCAGAATGATGATTATTCGGTGTAATATTTGTTTTATTTTCAGTGTGATATTTTATTCAGTATAACATAGATCTATTTCAGTGTAATGTTTATTCATGTTATGATTTACTCATATTATATAAAAATGAACTATGCTCTGGATGATATGCAAATGGGATTTTGCTATAGCTTCATATATATGACTTTTTCCTAATTAATAATCAACTGAGTGTACAAATCCATGTATAAATGAGTGTATTTTCGACTAGCATCATCGTGTTTTCGAGGTGGAGAGATTTTCACTTGTACCAGTCTTCCGTGTTCTTGTTTTGCCTCATGGTAATTGCAATCGTTCTTCGTTTTCAAGTATAAGTAATAAGCGAAGATAATATAACAGGTCATTGTTCAGCAAACCACCTAGAGTTGCTACAAGACTACTTGATGAAGGTTGCTCACATAAAACAAAACATTGAATGAAAATTCTTAGAGGTAATTTATTCGGGAGACTATTGTATCTATTAACATAGGTTGCTGTTCATAAGGAGACTTTAAGAACTATGGATCGGATGACTCATGCTTCGGTGGGGAAAAGGTTAGGACTACTTTCTAGTACTACAGTAGTCTATTTATATACTTCAGTTGCTGTAGGTGGTCTGGGCATCCCACATTTCTCCACTTCTGGCGTCAATGTCTCGGAGCTACCACTCATTTACTTCGAGGTATGCCATTATTACCGGCTCTGTTACCATTTAGCAAATTTTTTCGATTACTTATTTACATTCGCTGAGACAATACATTCCAAAATGTAGGCCTTTAAATGCTAGACAAAACATTTCCACAACTCTTGTGACGGAAAAGGCCTAAAACTTGCGAATGATAGTAATGAATCACAGCATGTTAGGATTTCTATGGGCTGTATACCCGAGGCTCTATATCAATACATTTAAACTCAGAGTTGTGCATACATGAGAGACTCTTAATCCCCTAGACTATGAGTCCTGATACCTATGGCTATTTTTGAATTCATGTCTCCTCTTGTTTTCCCTTCAAAAGAAGTACACTGTTCGTCACCTATATTATTATTATTGTCATTGTTTTTAAAATTTTAATTCAACAATTTTGATAACGAACAGTATTTTTTAAGCTTATGGAATTGTTTTAATATTTCTAACATTTAAATTTCGTGGGTTCATTCCAAGCAATGGCGTAATTATAAAGTAATCATTCTTTACTTATTAATTTTTCCTACCTGTTTAATTAACTTCATAAGATGTTACAAAGATAATCACATAATAATATACACAATGCTAATCTTATCGAAACGTCCACTTGCACGATTAAGATACGCGCGAAACCGAAGTTCATAAACCAACGACCTGTCTAAAAACGCTTCTTTATTGTGGAATATACATAAATTAGTTACAAAAGTCAACTATCGAGATATCTGTGATGAATAACGGATCTGTATGTCTGTAAATGGAAAGCGTTCCTGTAATGATAACATAAAGAGTAATTAAAAAATACGACTGTGTAAATGATAGCTGATAGTTGTGTTTAGTATTAACAATAGTTTATCAACAACTAAAATGGGCACTAAGAGTATACAAATATACAAACTGTTGAGTTTAAACCAAAACTCAAGGAATACAGAAAACTGAAAATAACTGTTAGAAGGGTTGAGGGATAGTAATTTATGATAATAAATACAGTAAATGTTATTATTAATTATGAATACTTTAGGACATTGCACAACAAATAAACTTGTGTTACACCATACTCTTAGAAATTATAAGAAATAGAACTGTTTACTGAATAGTAACAAGTAGTATAAAGCAATGAACAAAAGGCAAGTCGGATGAGCAGTGATATGGACCAGAAAATACAACAAAACTTGACAAGCAACATCACTCTTCTTATGTTTCATTTTGATTTATCAATTTACTTAACAATATTTTTCATCAATTTTCATCATTTGACTTGTTTTCTTGAGATGTCAAGATCTATGAATATATGTGATAAATAAGTTTCAGTGATATTAAAATATTTGATCTGATTTTGGCTTTTAGTTATCACCAACATGTTCTGTCATTTCCTTTAGTTAGTCAATTATAAACAATATAGGAACCCGAAACAAATATGATTTGAGGTATATTGTACCCATCTCAATTTAGTACAGAGATAAAATTACCTGGATGGATACTAAGAAAGATGGAATAAATTAACATCAGTGGCGGCATCTTATCGTAAACGGATTTAGAATCACTGGGAAGGTCTTACAATATTTAGGTTCCTACTTCCATAATAAAAAAATGGTGTGGTGTGCGCTACTGATGTTGACAGATATAAGTAGTATGTATGACCAATAAAATGTGAAATGTCTGGCGGCAGAAGGTGAGGAAGATCTAAGAAAAGAGAACGAGAACAGAAAATGGTTGGTGTGGAAACGAAAGATCACTGAAATCTGAGACGATTAATTGACATTTTGCAAATGAGGTATTCACTGTATGTATGTATCATTACCAAGGTTTGACTTGGTAATTTCGAATAAGTTGGGTAGATTGTTATGAATAAATTAATACGTTTGTAATATCCTAATGAGTAGAAAAAAAAAATTTTCTAACGTTTCGTGACTTAGTGTAGGCCACTTCTTCAGAGAATAAACAACTGTGTGGTTCTCAAATTTTTCCATGATATTATGTAATGTTGCATTCAAAAACATTCGGTTGTCCTGATTGGCGTTCTCGTTCACTACAATAGTGTAATAAATTTTAGTTCTGATAAAACACGAAGTCGTCAGTAACTTTCTGGTGGATATTATCCTAATGACTTTTGCAATCATCTGATCAGTTACTTTCGCTTTCAATTTTCTATTTTCGTTAAATATCTCAACGTCATTGTTGTTGTTGTCTAAACATGGTTATTATATCACAAGTTTAACCTCTTGAGACATTTAGCTTTTCCTAACTTCTTATCTTCTCTCTTCAATCGTATGGAGGAGATTAATTATTATTGAAGTATTAGCAATTAATTGTAGAATTCTCTAGAACATTCAGATCTTGCTTTAAGTGATATCGTCTAACTATTTATAATACAGAATAATCGTAAGCTAACTGAGAATATAATGATACCAGCTAGAAAATTCTATAATCCAAAGATCTAATTAGACCACCAGCTATAGGCTTGGTATTACTATTTAGAAAAAATGGTTAAGTACATGTCTTTAATGAATAAACAAATTACCATTAACCATCTCAAAAATCTGTTTGTTGAACATTCATCTTATTTAGGTAGACTGGTTTCCCTTCTCTATCTCTCTAACCCTTCCTCACTCCCACATCTATACTTTCCTTCGACACTGAATAATAAATATTATTTATTTTTAAGTTAAAGACATTAATTGGACATAATAAGTATTTTTAAGAAATAATAACAAAGGTATTTATTTCCTTTTTTTGAAATATTCACTGGGTGGTCATCATGGTTGTATCAAACGATTTGACTAATCCATTCTGTACAAAAAAATCAAGGAGAATTTTTTAAAAATTACTTAATGGCTTTTTGATGTATTAGTCCTTGTTATGTTTATCATTTTCTTTGTTACTTTCCTTTCTCTACTTTGAAAGATACAATTTAATTTGATCGAATAAAAAGTATTTTTGGTCATTTAGTGGATAGTGGTACTGAATATTAAAATGTAATTTTAAATGGTTAGAACTTTTCCGAACTGACTGCTATCAACATGTAAAGTGTAGTCAATCCTAAGATAATGAAACTAAAGAATTAAAGAATGAAATCTTTAATGAAAACTATACACTTTAATATTCAGTATTCACCGATTAAATGGATGGAAAAATAATCAGTAGTATTGGGTACGATGCGCTTAGTGAACTATAAAACCATAGCGGATAACCTCGGTCAAAATGAAGCATATCTGATGATTTTAGAGAATTGTTGGTTTTTACGCTGCATTATACGTATATAAATAACTGATGTTGAAGGGAAAGCTTAAGTTTTTACAAGACTCTAAATTGCAACATTTGACGTATCGAGTTATTGTTTTACACCGGTTAACATAATGGATTATTCTATCGTTATTACTTTCATTTCAAATTATCTTAATACAAAAGTGACTTGTGTTTTTCTTTTAGGAATAATTTCAGAATTAAGTAAAAATTCTTAATTTAAAAAAGTATGTTTTCTTTGTGTGCTTTGTATTTTCAGCTCAAGCTGATCAAGAATTAGAAAAGATTCTACTTTTCTTATTATGTGCAGCTGTACGATGTGATCGTCGTGATTATTTTATCCGTCAAATTATGGAAAATTTAAATCCTGACGTCCAAACTGGTATAATGACATGTATTAAAAATGTAAATAAAGTAACAACTTTTATCTCGTTCTGTCCGATAAAATCTGCTTTCCATAATGAAGAGTTGTAACTCGGGTAGAGTTTTGTCCTCTAAGCTGGACAGTTCGATCGTGTAGCTTTCATCGTTATTCTGAACGAAATCATCAGCACAAACTTCGAGTAGAAGTGAAGTGTTCGAATTTCTCCACATATGACTCCCTGCTTGTCCTGTAGACCTCGATCTTGATTGGTTATAATTGACCTTTAACTTTTCTACAGTTCCTTATTCAATAATAAATTAGGAATATTTTATCTTTACATCCATATATATATATTCAAATGTAATTTCGCTTGTAATTTAGTGTCTATCCAAGATGTTTTTTATCACGGAAAACTCACATTATTGCTTTGCTTCTGTATTTTGTCGGAGATTCCGTAGTTGTATTCATGGTTTTATAGACAGAAGCTAATTTTTTGTGAAGAATAAATAATATGGTGGAGGTATATTCCTACATTATCAATTTTCGAATAATGTTCACTTCCAGTAAAATAATATTTAATCATATTACATGTATTAAAAAACAACTCTGCATATTAAGGTTGGCACTAATATAGCTAACTCTGTGAAAATAGTCTTTCAAACGATTGGATATATCAAGTTCTTTTTACGCACCAAAAGACCGAACTATATATTTTTTGTTAGGAATTCGTTCATTCATAAGCTACTGTTGTATCAGATCTTACTGTTCACAATGTCGAGGTTTATTCATAGCTTTTTGAAAATAGAGTGTGATGTAGCTGTCGAATACGCATTTCATGATACACGATGTATAGTCTGACGGCTGATTACTTGATGTTTTAGATTCATACTGCTACATAGTGGCTCAAAGCATCAGATAAAAAATAAGTTAAAATTTTTAGGTTTTTGGCCTTTTATATACAGTATTGTCAGAAACCACGGATAAAGCTGGTCCAGATTAATCAATCTTCAGTCGTTTCACTTCACTTTTTCTCTTGAAATTTATAGAGCAAGTTGATAGTTTCTCATATTCTTCACAACATCAGTTGATCAGCGTTCGTTGTGTTTTCAGTCACACTGACTTTCTTCGTTTCAATTAGTATATCACTTGGACGGTTAAAAATTGTTATGTTCAAAGTGTTTTCAAAAGCAAAGATTCAGTTTTTTCGACCGTACATCTATGAGTGATATCTTTAAGTCCACTTTGCCTAACAATACTAGAAAGTGATTGCACTTATCAATGAGGTGAATATTCAGATACAAAATATGGCATGCAAACCACCATTTGTTCTTCTTCAATAATATAGATTGTAGAGGATTACTTGGGACTTAAAATAGTAGATAACTTTTCTTTTAACTAGATTGGAGAGTGACACTACAGGATGTTTAAGATATGACAGCTTGCTCAGTTATTGAGGATGAATGAAATTTAATACGAATATATAGATGAGTTACGGCCTAAGCATCTGATTACTTATAGATTACATTCTATATTCGTACTACTATTAATATTTTCGTTTCAAATTAAAATTTATCATGAGATATTCTATCTTGTAATTAACAGGTTACTGAATGTCCGGCAAGTATCGTAAGTTTTGAAAAACTTCGATCATCTGATGCTGATATTTTACGAACTTTTCGATCTGTAGTCAATCAACTTGAAGATATTTATTTGGAGGTATGCTATTCTAAAAAAATTATTGGGAAAAAACGCCCATTTACATATAAATCATATGATGATGAGTTTCTGGAAATCAGTTACCTATTATTTGTAGATTATCATTGAATTCAGGGTTGATAAAGTTTAATTTTCAAAGAATAGTTACTTTCTACATTTGTAATTAAGGTGATATATAAACGAAGAATAGATTGGCTTTGCATAATAACATTTGCAACATTTGTAGAAGGATTTGTAAATGAGACTACGCAAATATTACTGACTTTGAATCCTGTAGGTCTACTTGGAAATTTTTAGTAGCTTATCTGTTGTAACAGAAATAAGCCACACGACTCCCATATTCATTCCAGAAATTCATGAAACTGTGATATATTTTATGTTGCTAACATATTTGGTCTGAACGCAGAAAACGATCAACAACCCAAGATTTATCTGATTATACCGAAGTACTGCGTTATTCTGCATAGTGTATGAAGCTTCTTTGAGTTAACCAAAATCGTCGATTATAACAAAACACGATTTTTGTGCGTAATTTTTGTGATACTATGTCATGAAAGCGAACCGTATAAAAAAAGCTCAATGGTATCATTAACCCACCAGACACTCAGAAGTTTCTCTGAGGCAAAATTACTGCCTATAGAGAGGAAAACGATTGATAAATACAACTGTTAAGTAATTGTGGATCAACAAGAAGGTTTCTAAAAAACTGAGATCGAATTTCTGTCTGCTAGAAGCAAAGTGATCAACAAACGTTTCTAGTAAACAGTTAGGGTTCAACAACAACCAAACTCTGCTCTATAACCTTGAGTTCGGTTAGACAGGAACTTATTGTCGGTTGTCGGGGTTTATATAACAAAATCGAATAAATAAATGCACATCTTACTTACTTGCCCTGTCACCCCTCGTGGAGCATTAGCCGTCTACCAGGATTCTCCATCCAACTCTGTCCTGAGCAATCCTTTCCAGTTGCTACTCACCCTTTTAATGTCTGCTCCTATTCCAGTCGCATTGTGTTACTTTGTCTTCCGCTTTTCAATTTCTCTTCAGGTTTCCAAGTTAGCTCTTGCCTCGTTATGCAGTTTGGTGATTTCCGTAATGTATGTACTATGCACTTCCAACATCTTTTCCCGATCTCCTCTTCATCTGGAAGCTGGTTTGTTCTATACCATAGTTGGTTGTTGCTGATGGTGTCCGGCTAACGGACACTGAGTATCTTGCGTAGACAATTGTTTACAAATACTTGTACCTTCTTGATAATGGTTGTAGTAGTCCTGCAAGTTTCAGCTCCATACAGTATTTAAGATTTTCACTTTAATATTGGTTGACAGTTGTCTTGAGTTCCATATGTTGTTCAGCTGTGGGAATGTGGCCCTTGTTTTGCCAATCCTTGCCTTTACGTCTGCATCAGATCCTACTTATTCATCGATGATGCTACCCAGATACCTGAATGTTTCCACATCTTCCAGAGTTTCTCCATCAAATGTGATTGGGTTAGTGCTCTCTGTGTTGTATTTGATGATCTTGCTTTTTCGTTTGTGTATGTTGAGGCCTACTGATGCAGAGGCTGCTGCTACACTAGTTGTCTTCATCTGCGTTTGTTTGTGTGTATGGGATAGAAGGGCTATATCATTTGCGATGTCCAAATCATCTAGCTGAATCCAAACTGTCCACTGTATTCCGTGCTTCCCCTCAGATGTCAAGGTCTTCATAATCAAGTCAACCACCAAAAGAAAGAGAAAGGGAGAGAGTAATTAGTCTTGTCTGACTCCGGTCCTCAATTTGAATGTGTCTGTCAGCTGTTTCCCATGCACGACATTGTTCTATAGTCCGTCGTATAAACTCTAGATGACGTTGACGATTTTCTCAGGTACACCATACTATCAAAGAAGATTCCATAAGGTTCTTCTATCCACACTCTCAAATGCTTTCTCAAATTCTAGGAAGTTGAAGTATAATGAAGAGTCCTATTCAATTGATTGTTGAAAAATGATCCATAGTGTTGCAACTTGGTCTATGCACGACCGATTCTTACTGAATCCGACCCGTTAATCTGGATGCTGAACGTTCACTGAATCTTTCATTCAGTTCAATAGCACTCTGTTGAAAAATTTTCATGATATCGGTAGTAGTGTGGTTCCACTATGGTTCTCACATTTGCTCAGATCTCCTTTCTTTGGTATCTTGATGAGGTATCCTTCTTTCCAGTCTGTCGGCATTTGTTCTTACTCCCAAATCTTCCTGAATATAAGAAAGAGCATCTCTGCAGTTACCTGTATGTCTGACTTCAGTACTTCAGCCTGTATGTTATTTGGTCCTGCTGCTTCCTCACTTTTGATTTGTCTGATGGTCATCCTGATTTCTTTGATCATTTGTGGAGTGACATGTATATGAAGGTTCGTAGATGCCGCTTCGATGTCTGGTGGTGGGTTCAGTAGGGCTGGTCTATTCATGAACTCATCAAAGTTTTCTACCAAACTGTTCCTGTATTCTTGAGTTTTCGTGCTTGGTTTGTCTTCTTTGTTCTTGACTAATCACTCCGGTTTGCAATATTTCCCGTTAGTTTCTTTGTTTTATCATATAGTCGGTATTTGTCACTGGATAACATTCATTATGATCCTCTCCTCTGTCTTGAAGGATGCCTTGATAATGATAACCATCCTACTTTATCCGAACTTAGGACTGGGATAAACTCTAGAATAGCTACGGGATCAGTTAAACTCACACTTTAACCAGAGTTAACTAATAAAGGTGTAGTTAAAAGAAATTGAAAAATATGAAAAGTGGCTACTGTGAAGTCTAGAATAATAGTTAACAAACAAATCAGGGATAAAAATTTAAGAACTAATAATTCTATTGAATGAGGTACTCTTGACGGGATTTTCAGAGCATTCATTCCGTTACAACACTATAAATGTAATTCTTTTTCATTTTTTATATTGTTTTAGGAAATTATTCAGTTATTAGATGAATTAGCATCATTACAAAACAAATTTATCACATTACAAGCAAGGTACCAATTAGCTTCGCGATCTAAAACATTAGGACCTAATGGATTAAAAGAACGATCTGTTTCTACCATATCACTCGGTGTTGATAATTCACACAGTAATAGTAATGGTCATTTCGCTATATCTACACCTAGGCTCGATGAACAACCATTTTTATCACGTAAAAATCCGGATATCAGTGATTTAAACGAATCTTTTGAACAGACTAATGAACATTTAAATGATGGAGTTTTTATGAATGATAATAAGGTTAATCAAAATACTACGACTAATAATAATATCAGTAATATAAATGAATTATCAGAAATTGGTCGAATGGATTCTGGTTTAGAAGTGGAAACAACAGAGTTAGACTCAATCCGTTCTTTATACCCACCAACTGATAATTTAACACCTGAAATTCTTGTAATGGATACGGATAAGCATCATTTATCGGTTGAGTTGGCTGAAACCAAAGCTAAATTACGTCGAGCACATATTGAAATGTAAGTTTGTATTCTTTGTTTAATGTCTACTTTATGTTTATTCATTTTTCATTAACAAGTGATGAGTTCCAAATAATATGATATCTTGATTTATGGCTTTATCCCGATTGTCTCTAAGCCTCTAAGAAAAAAGTATGTTGCCATTTAGATCACTTAAACATGTGGCTACATCCCAACTTGATCGATAGAATTTTGTCAACACGAAGGACTAGATATGACATCATTTATCACAGAATAATCAATTAGCCCAATTCTGTTTCTTTATTTATTGTCTTTACAAACTTGTTGATACACAAGCCATCTTACTGATCAGTACTCATCAGTGAATTGTCTTATGATAGATCTCTGAATGTCTTTTAGGAAACGTGCGACATATGGTGTTAACCAGTCCAGAGCTGGGGAGAGATACTTAGTAAATATATTTGGTAAAGCTCACACTTTTGTGAACCATATGACGTTGTAAGATATCGATCATTATATCATAACCTAGCTACTAGCCATAAGACCTGAAAATATTATATCTGATTCTTAACCAAGTCATGGTTCTACACTACATGAAAGTCCAAAACAAGAGGATCTCTCAAATTCCTGGTTTTCCACTTGTCTTCCATCTACTATCAAAACTTAATCAGATATTTACAGAAACTACATTAGGCTTAGGGAACTAATTGAGATTGAATAATAGTTTATGACTGGTTTGTGTGTGATTCACTGAAAAGATATAAACAATTTACAGTAAATTTATAGCCAATCAGTTCCGAAATTAACGATAAATACTCAATGATAATATGTCAGCATTTACAATTTAGCATATCAACAATATCATGCCATAGTTATACAACTTAAATACTCTGTGCTGTTAATCTCTGAAATGGTTAAAAGTGTTTGTTATGCAAGAAATACTGATGATAGTATAAAAAATTAATTCATTCACTCTTTTATTTGGAAGCATGTAATGAAAGCTCTCTTTGAAGCTAGTCAAGTCCCAATTCTCAATCCATTAGTTAATGTTTTAAATGAAGAAAATTTTGATTTATGTAGTTTAAGGCAGAAATACAAAATAAAACAGTATTATTATCACTGAACTACAAATGAGGTTAACTACAACGTTCTTACTGTTCAATAAGTGTATTTTGTCCATCACTTTCGACCATGTTTTTTGTGCATTAAATAAGTGAATACTGCATACTAGTTATTTTCACCATAAATTTTAGTGTAAACGTCTAGAGTTACCTGTAGCTATCTATTATAAGCATCTTGTTTGGCTGCTTCTGAAATACTGGGTGGAAAACTCAAATATAGGGCAATTTAAGGTCTGAAAAAAAATTTGTAACAGCACTTATACACTAATAAATAACACTCATCTACTAAATGAATGACGAACTAACCGAAAGTGATAAGTAAAACATACTTATTGAATATGGGAAAAGTTGTTGATAACCTTAACCCTGATCGACTGTAATTGGATTAAAAAGAATAGAAATTTAATTCATAAGTTATGGTTTCAATGGATCGTCTATCTAGGTTACAATTCTATTTAAGTTTTCTTAGTGATTGACTGTACAAAACCTTTTTTGAATTAATCTGATTAAACTATTCCTAAATTTAATTGGTTTTCTATGTATTTATGTGTATTACAAGACAAAAAGTTATGATTTATACTTTATCTTACGATACAAATAAATTCACAATTGATTGATCATTAGTTGATGATCAATATGTGTGTCAGTTCCTTCTGTGTGCAGATTGAATCCTATCGAACAAGTTGCAAAGTGGCCACCAATCTAGGTGACTCGATATTGCGATTGTAATTCACTATGCCTATTTTTGTATTTATTGACTATGAAGTTGTTGCATAATCATATTAATCTATAAGATATGACTTATACTAAATTTTCTACTAAGATTTTGAAGAAAATCGTTGAGAAGCATATTAATCTATGTTGTCTTAGTGACAAAAACCTATGATATTCATTCGCTCATCTTATTTTAAGTTATAATTACTTAGTGATATAGTGAACTAACAGAATAAAAGGCAAATAATTTGAAATAATAATATCAATTAGTCATCCATGGTCATAAGTGATATGGTGTCTGGCACAAATGTTTGTTATCTTAATTTACCATGCGACCTTAGCATGACAATTTGAAATAAACAGAAGGAACAGAAACCATGTCAAAATAATTCTCATCAAATTGTAATTGTGAGTTTCAAGTATTCCATATTTTTTTCATTGCAATTCTTCCATTTTTTTATAGTGAAGATCAAGCTGATCAATTAGTTGAACTACAAGATCATTTATTTGAAACACGTCGTGAATTAAGTCAAGTAAAAGAGGAACGAGCACGTTTAGCTGATGCAGCTTATACAGCAAGACATTGGCAAGATGAAGTGGATGCATTAAAACAAACAGCAGAACGTGTTATTAATTTAGAAGCAGAAAATGAAAAACTCAAAGAAAGACTACATGAAATCGATTATTATAAAGTAAACTAATTTTTAGATTTCTTTCAGTAATATCTAGTTTCGATTGTAATTTACCTAAATAGAATATAATTTTATAAATTAAGGTATTTTTAACCAACTTGAAAGTGATTACTAACGTAAAATAATATCACTCGGATAGCTTTCAACATTTTAACATTAAATAGCAGTTACTGAAGTGCCAGTTCACTTAGCTTAGTGACTATCTTATAAATTCTATTGGGAAAAGAAGACAACCTGTCACAAAAAATACTTTGTATGTGTTTTCGTTTGCTTCGCTGTTAACAGCTTAGGTTTCTCCTTTTCACATATAGATTGCCCATTTAATTATAGGTTATAGTACTTATGGTTAAGGTATTTGGCCTCAGTTAGCTGAATATGTTGTAAATTTGTCAGTTAGTGTTGAATCAATATCATAACAGTTGCATGTTGATTGTTTTTAAATGAAGAAGTCATCTTTGTTTTTTTTTCGGTTAATTGCCATCCTAATTGAGATTGGATGGGTCGTTGAATGAGTATCAAGTGATATATATAGAACTCAGCTCGACTTTATCAATGAAACTGAATTAGTTACACGGGGTGTTCCTGATCATTGATTCGGTCAAGCGTGAATTGTTAATATATAATGTCAATCATGAGTATAGCATCATTATTGTCATATAGAAAGTTTAAGGGGATCATTCGATTTGAAGTTAATGTTTTGACCGTGAAACTACATTACACTTGTCATATAACGTTGTGTTCCTGGATTTGTGTATGGTGATGAAGAAAAATCCTAAACTAGGTAAAAGCAGATGCCTGATATTGCATGGTTTACTAAAATATCTTAGCCAACATCAATTCATAATAAATAGTAACTTCAAAAATATTACGACAATTATCATTATATGAAAGTTCTTAGTTCACCTTAAACGAACCTATAACATTTTATTAAAAATATGACTGAATTTATGCTGTATACAATAGACTGTTTTCAGTTGGGAGTAATTTCCTTGTTTATACATGTATGTGTATTTACGTTGCTGCCTTCAATTCAATCATAATAGTTTGTAAATGTAAGATACGTTGTTATGTACAATTAAGCAAGGGTGTTTAAAAAAAATTTATTTATCTTTTTTTTGACAGGCTCGATGTCAACAACTTACTGAAGATTTAGAAATTTTATCAAATGAACATTCACAATGGGCGGATAAAGAAGAAATCACTCATGAATATCATCATAAAATTACAGATTTAGAGAAAGAATTAAATAAAACACGATGTCAATTGACAGAAACAGAAAATGTATGTTTTTATTTTCCTTTCTAGTTCCCGATCATGTTAATTTTATTCCTTCATTGTTTAATTTTATTGTTTATGTAATAGTTTTTAGATAATAGACAGTAATCATAGATTTGAAGCCGTTATAGGTTTTTTTATTTTATAAGCTAATAAATCATTAACTGATATGCATCTTAACAATTTAATGATGACCAATGTATTTCTAATTCGATTGATTCAGTAATAATAATAATATCATTAATGTCTGTAGTATTATTTGCATACTCTAATCTCAGTGAAAACCGAGTGTTTTGTCTAGTATTGTTGCTAAGATGGGTCTACTGGAAGAATTATTATAGATCTCAACTCGAAAACTATGATAATGTTTGTGAGTTATATCTTTCACACGTTGATCTCAACTTCCGTACCATTGAAAACCGGGGAGCACTACATCCTATCCCAATATGAAACTCCTTAGTAGTACACACCCACAACCCCATCATGGACTGAATCAGAGGCCTTTACGTCTCACTTACAATCATTGATTATTATAACAACTGGGTTGGTGTTGAATAGTGTGATTCCAATTTGGATCAGTTAACGGCATAGAGCGTTAATCATCCAACGTTACTCAATTTCTAAAGATAAGTCTCGACTAGTGAAATGTAGATATTTTTTATTGGAATAGTAGTCCTTATCAGCATTATTATCAAGTACTTTCTGAAATTACATACCTTGTTTAAACTATGGGTAATTCCTATTACTTCTAAATGTGAAAAATATTAACAACGAACGAGAAGTCACAAAGAGATTCTTTTCTTTTTTCAGAAAAACAACAAACTCTTCAGATATTCACGTTTTAAACTGCTTACTACGCATCAATTTGAAAAAATGTATTCATAATAGTGTAGTGAGATAATTCATGAAATTCAGTTGACTTCATTGTCTCATTTTCAATAAAGAGGTACTAGGTTATTTACTTAATAGTTTAAAATTAATTAGATCATTGGAGTTTAATTTCATATATCCCAATGTGTTATACCGAATCGTAGTAGAAATAGATAATTTCATTGGTGTTATCTTTAATAAATACAGTGATATGAATAAAACAATGGAGTTATGTAAATAACTATAGAACATTAGGTCACTGATAATAGTTGCTTGAATTAAAACCTTTCCCTTCTCTATAGAAATAATAATTTTACTTACTGATACTTTAGTTTCATTTCTTCTCTTTAATGAAACTTCTTTTTCTTTTTTTTATAGGCTCGAAATTCGGATTTGGATTTAATTAAAAATCTTCACGAGGAATTAGGCAAACTTAAGTTAGAACATTATACACATAAAAAGTTTATGAATTCACCTCATAAACTGGCTAATTCAAAAGACATTGTAACTAATAATAATAATAATAATAATAATAATAATAATAATAATAATAATAATAATATAATAATAATAATAATGAGAAAAGTAATCAAATTATACAACAGAAACAACAAAATCGCATTTCATTTGATGCAACTGATGAAGACTTGACTACTATCGACATTTCAGCGAATAATCATCTACATCAGCACCATCAACAACAACTCTTATCACAATCAAATGGATTAAATTGTAGTTTATCAGATCAATTATCTGAATCAGTGACAAATCGTCTAAATCATTTAGAAGAAGTGAATCGACGTTTAAATAAAGAACTTGAAATGACTAAAATGTTATTAGTTAAAGCTCAGTCTGTTAATGAAGTTAATATTGAAACAGAAGCATCTTTAGCTGAAATGAAACGTGAAAATCAATTGTTAACTAATAAGGTGAGATTATGATTAGAGAGAATTTAATTCAAATTAAATGTAATATTATGTTATAATGCATGAGGATTTTATTTATGGTATGGAATTTCACTCCAAATATATTAATGTCTATGTATGCAGTTAAAATGATGAAGACAAAACTGTTTAACATTATTATGAACATGATTGTTCTTGGTATTATTGCTTTCGAAATAGATCTCATTAGTTATCATCTCATTTCCATTTCGAAACCGAATACATACACAAATATCTAGAATATTTTCGAAGATGCTAACCCCCAACACGATTGAGTGACTCATAGTATGACAAGATTTGTCCATCATAGTAGATTGTCGAATCGTGTGATATTTGTGCTTCAGTTATGTCGTTTAAAGCATTATTAAATAGGAGTGTTATTTAAATACGTAGATAAAAATAAATTTAACACACATATTATGAATCAAGAGACAATTCGCAACTATGTCAAACAGGTAATAGCTATTAACGTTAATAAATTAGTCCCATGCTTTTAAAATAGACAAGGTGTTCTGTTATGACATAAATACTTCAAAATTGTGTTATTTGTAACTTAGAAGGTTCATTTAGTCGAGTCAGAATCATTAATAGTAAATATTAACTACTGAATATTCATAAGTAGTATGGTATAATGCACATAAAGATGGAGGAGAATGAAGCTTAGTTGCCATAACAATGTAGTGACGAGTCGTTCTTTCACAAAATATGTGACTTTTTGCAGTCAGCACAAGTCCAAATGGTGTTATGAAAAATCAACATCACACATTACTGACATACTAGGCTGATCGTTCTAATTTCACGTTATTTAGATCAAAGTTGTTCCATAGTATTGTTCCATGTGTTCCATATGTATTGTTAATTTTTTTAAAATACGAATAAGTGAACGATAATATTTGTGATGCAACCGATTAGTTTAAACTATCTATTTCTATAGTGGGGCCTTGAATAGGTTATATGTGACTATCCATACAGATTTTCCAAGTTGGTTGAATAGTTAGAACTTCCTTTTCTATTGGATGCAGCGTGATTTAGCAATATATATGTATATATGTTATAACATGTCGTTTGAATGCTGATTGTCTTGGCTCTTTTAATGCTACTTTTTGTATCTGGTCGTCACTGATTGTTATGCTGGAAACGCTTATTACTTATACTCGGAACGAGGGACCTCCGCAATTCCCATGACGTGAATGTAAGAACACAAGATTGGTATGAATGAAGATTTATTAACCCCAAAACATGACGACGACGGCGATTCTAGTAGAAAATACACTCATTTATATATTGATTGTACACCCATTTTAATTAATAATTAGGATGAAATCATATATATGAAAAATACTTAGAGTTATAACAAATCACATATTGAGAATAGTTCATGTCAATGGAATACAAGAATATCGCATATTGTACAGAATACCATACGAGAAAACAAAACAACTACTGCACTGAATAATCATCACATTGAATCAGAACGGAAGTAATATTGAATAAAACACATAATGAGTAAATCAATCGAAAATCGACTTTTCTTTCCATCATAGCAATCTAGTGCTTCAGCTACTCACTTTTCTTTATGGCTAGATGTCTTTGAATTATTCGGATACTTTTAATATAGACTTGGCAGTAGTTGAATATACTATGTGTTGCTATTGCCGTTTTTATTCGTCGATTTTAGGTTCTACAGGATTATACGGAGATCTTTTCTTGTAGCTTAGATGTTCCTTGACATGAGTCAAGATTTTCACGATAAGATTTACCAATAAGTCGCAGTCGACATAACCTAATCTCAGGCAGTTAGTCGTCTTGATAGGTAACAGATATTGTGGAACAAAGCGGAATCATTTCATTTTGTGTTCTCTATGTCTTTCGTATAATCACTACGTTTTTGTCCTTAATATGTTTTACGAATGTAATTCACTTTACTGTTGAGGAATAATCACAATATGTGTCAGGGAAGTTGACTCTGAATAAGTTCAGACTATCCAGTTGCATCCTTTTTAACATCGTTCAACGAAATGTTTAACCAACTATCAATTGAGCCATCCTATTTGTATTTTTTTATACTATCTTTAGCTACTATTCTAAACATTATTTTCGTTATGGTTATTATGATGACTTAACTATTATTGTTTTTATAATTACTGTTCTTCTATTCTCTCAATAATAATTTGTACTTGATCTATGTCGTCAATTAAGTTGTGATCTATCTCTTGTTTATCTTGTTTCTCTATAAATTGCACTTACATTATTGTGGAAAATATTTAACATTTACTAGTGAACTGAATTACTTTATTCCATATCTTGATAGTCATTTCAAGAAGTTTCATAGTTATTTGTAATTCCTTTCGGTTGTCTGTAATTTCTACCATATATACACAGCGTAATACTTTACTAATTGTTTAAATTTAAGTTAAAACGAGGAATTTTCTGTTTAAATCAAACATAGGCATAAATACGTAGATTTTAATTGTATATATCTAGTAATTGGATTCAGTTTTAGTTAATGATTTAGGAATTTTTCAGGGATTTCAAAATGGGTTTTCAAACATAAAATTCCCTATACTTTAGGACAACTGTAAAATAGTTATGTTATTTTCTATGAGTTTTCAGTAGTTATCTTTAATTCATCTAATTATTTCTCATACTGTCGGCTTATAACAGTGTTTATTTTCCTTTTCCATGTTCTCTTCATCAACAACTATCAAATACTTTAGCTTGAAAGACTTGAAACAGCTTTGTCAGTTCAAGATGAACGTTTATGCCAATTAGATTTGGAACGAATGAGCTTTGAAACGGATGCAAGAAAAACAAGAGAATCGTTAAATACATTTAAAGAAACTTCCGAAAGACATATCAATGAGTTGTCACGTGAAAATGATTATTTAACTGAAACTATCAAGGTGAGTTAGTAATTATCACTAGGATTAATTGTCCATATATTTGTTTAAATACGTTAAAAATATTTCTAGTGATTTTTAAATAATTTTCATACTGAATATCAGTAATTGCTTTCAGTATTTATGACCATTAGATGACGGCATATGTGTTACCTTGAAACCTCTGAGTCGGAATCCAATGTTCGACATTTTTAAATTCAGACAATTTATGATATAGCATGACCACCATCCAACATGGACAATGAAACTTGCTTATTCTCTATTTGGTTGGTCATATAAGTAATATTTGATTAGTTTATTTCTTAATGGTAAACGACTCGCACTAATAAGTCACAAAGGATGAAATAGAGTTTTGAAAATAAGTTTTCTGGAGCATAATTAATATAGAATCTGTACATGGATTCTAACTTAACGGTTACATTAAATTAAAAAAAATGCAGAAATAGAAAGAGATGAACTTCTTCAGGAAGTTTATTCTTATCGTGGAAAACAATCCTGAGAAAAAACCTGTTACTGGGAAATTAGGCGAAACGGATTCGAATATCATGGAACGCATCATTCCCCTCAAAATTACAGATACCCCTTACTTAAGAGTACCTACTAGCAAAAAGTTCAATCATCTAACGTCAAACTGGTCCATAAAATTGATTGTTTTAATTGTTTGTGGGATGTGTCATTTTCAATTGGTCTCGATAATGTCGAATTTATTTAACATATATCCTACTCTGTTCAATAAATACGCGAAATAAGGTCGTGAAAGATTTATTTAAGAAACTTAATACAACATCAGTCATGGAAAAACCTTTTTCTTTGTTTCTATTGTTTAAAACATTCCTGGAAGTTCACAGAAATGAGATTTTTCTGCAGCCTCATCTTTTCATTTTTTACTTAAGTCATATGCACTGACTATGTTCCTAAACTCACTTCATCAATCATCATCTGAATGTTGAGTAAACCACAGTAAAACATAAACGGTCGCATACATTCTACGATCTAATCAACACAAAACATCAATGGTGACCCTAGCCATGCGTCACTCTCGCAGTTTACTAAGATGTTGCTTCCATTTGAAAAGACCTGTTCTCCTCAGTGTATTAAATCCATTAACGACCTTCAACTCTATGAATTTCCTGATAAATTTCCAATAAAAACAGAAGTTACTTAATTTATGTAGTCATTGAACAGTCCGTATTGAATCTTGACAATTTACCAGAGTTTCTTTTTTATTTCCAGAACTTAAGAGGTAAAAATATCAATGATATTTCATCGGATGAAAGAATCGCACGTCTAGAAAAAGAAAATAGTGTGCTTGGTGAATCCGTTCAAAATAACGTGACATGTTTAGCACGAGCTGAGCTAGAAATCAGTCAATTACGTCATCGTTTGACAAAAGCAGATGAATTATGTAAACGTTTGGATTCATTAACAGATGAACGTAACCAATTAAGTGCTGAATTAGGAGCAGCAAAGCGTGAAATTACCGCTTTAAAAGAAGCCTGTTCAAAGTAGGTCAATTTCTTTTCTTCACTATATCAGAGAACTAATTGATTGAATAGTTTTCTTGTAATAGTAGTGGTGTAAGTTCTTATTTTAATTAACTTTTTAATCCGTCATTTTGAATGGTAATTAAAGTAGAAAATATTTAGTTTCTTTCTGTGCACATCAAAACAAGCACAGCATTCGGTGTTTAAATTTTGAACCATATGGCTTAAGCTATTACTTACGTTTATAAAGAAATCTATTACTATTGAGAAGTGAACACATTTGTTTGATTTGATCCATGTATTCTGACGATTATTTTAAGCATGTAGCACCCTCGTCTGTACTTGATTTTGCACACGTTTAAATCCGTCAGGCCCTTTCATTAACTTACTTGATAGACATGTCATTTGTGTTGGTAACAATTTACCTAGATTTTTACGTTATTGTCCCCATGCTTCTATAATCTTGTATGCTTAATCGTATGTTACAACTCATACGTATATTCCTATTATAATTTAGATGCTGGTTATTCAAATCACCCAATGACTCTTTCGTTTGCTAACACATATATGTTGTTCTTAAATCCTATTTATTTATTTATTTATTTATTTATTGGCATTCGCGTTGTGTGCTTGGTAGTCTTATAGTCTGTGCTGTATGATAATAAACTGTGTTCATCTCTTCATATTGTCTTCTGGAATTTAAATGCCGTTGGGAGTTATACAAGAACAGTTATCAAAACGATTAATTTTTCAGGTTATTGTATAATGTCACAGGTGTTTCACTAAAAGCACATACTGAATGATATATTTTCTTTTAATCATCTATTTACCGATTCAATTGTAGACAAACAGATCTAGAGATAGCTCTTGTCTCAGCAGAAGGTAATTGTGCACGTCTTCAAACACAATTGTCAACTATCCGTGCAACATGTGAAAATTCAGTAAATATGGAAAATGAATTGATAAGATTGAGGCAAATTGAAACTAAATGTGAACAATTACAAAATGCGTTGTTTACCGCTATACAAAAGACAGCTCAAGTAAGTGAAGTATTTAACAAAAAAACACGTTTTATTCTGTGTGTAAATATTTGAACTAAAGTTTTTTGAACAAGTATTTTGATCAATTACCTTTAAAGTATTGAGCTATAAGTCATTAGTGTCTATGTTAACTATCTATACATCTGTATTAATGTATCACTGTTTCTTTCTTTTTAATTTAATATCTAATCAGGTTGAAGTGGAACGGGATAATTTATCAACATGTCTTACTAATTTAAAACAAAATCTTCATTCTCGAAGGTTATTAGAGTCAGAAAATGATGAAGCTGATGATGAAGAGGGTGGAATAGTTGGTTTACATGACGAAGAAGTTGATAGCGGCAATAAAACAGGTGATTCAACAGAAGAAACATCTCCTGAATGTTTAGGTGTGACGAAATTACGCAGAAAAACTATAAGTATGCCACCGAACTTACGCCATCGTGATCGACGACGTAGAGGAGGATATATAAGCTATGAAACAGAACTTGGCAGGTTGGATTCAGAAATTAAACGTTTAGAAGCAGAAAGAGATACATTGCGTAAAAGTCTGGAAGAAATCCAAGCTAAATTAACAAATGAAGAGGTAGCTCATGAGTAAGTTTATTCTAACAAAAATGTTAGCTATCAAATTTTTTATTGATTTTACCTATACTGAATGACATGTTAAAGGAGGTTTTTAAAAGGGATATAGTAACTTAAGTTTGTTTTTTTCCAAGTGCGGTTTCTTTAATTGTAATGATCTCATTCTTATTCATCGAAACACCATCATGTCCAACTTTGAAAGTGATATACAACTAAAGAAATTGTTTTGCGTTTGATGGTAGATAATACGACTTTAGACTGGTCATACTAGACCATGATACTAAACAATGCATTAAATAATTAGCAGGCTAAATACCAAGCATCGACCAACGGTTGAGAACCAGAATATAGTTCCTACTAATCGCTTATTGACAGTCTTATAAAGTGGAATCCGGAGTATAGAGGAATTCGCAATAATATGAAGTACCATATCTAGTAAATTTGGATATCTATATTCTTTCACTAACCTATCACAGCTAAAGCTAGAATGCGAATCTGTTTTTTTACTGTGATTTCAGAAGATGTATCTGTTTGTTTCCGAATGACTTTAAGGCTGATTTACTTTTATTTTAGTTACTTTTGTATCATAGACTTTGGCCCTGCTTGGCAACTGAAAAAGCTTGAAATATCTTGGATGTATTTCAATAAATGAATTATTTCCTCTTAATACTTGTAAAAGTATCTTAAAGAATGTACCGTTTTACCAAAAGCAATTAAACTGTCCTGAAAGTTGACGGTATCGTTTAGTCAATTATCGACAGACTAATCAAAGTATACAGAGTAGTTAATTGTCAATTGGGAACAAAATAAACTAATATCGTTAATTAAAGCAAGGGTCACCCATCCCAAAGGTCATTAAAGTATGAAATCTAATCATTCGTTAAAAAAAGTGAAATTCATGCCTTTTTGGCTTGTAGGTTAAAGCTGTTTTATTCCCGCTTCATCGATTCAAATTTAGGTTGATCGGTTTGTTATTTAGATTTTTAAGCAGAATAGTTCGTCAGAAGAGTGCAAAAAATAAGTTAGACAAGTAAGCAGGAAATATGTAAGTTTCGTGACATCGGTCATTCAGAATTATGAAAATCTCAAACGAAGTAAAGAAGGATCATTAATTACTCACAATTGATTAATCACTGGTAAGTGAACAATATCATGCGTGTCAGGTCCTTCTTAGTGCAGATTGAATTCTGTTAAATTGTAATGTGGTCGCTAGTCCAGATGACTCGATATCGCGTGCATTGTGTTACATCGGCGTCGCTTATTATCCATACTTGAAACGAGAAATCATTACAGTTACCACGACACGAAGTAAGAACACGAAAGACTGGTACAAGTGAAACTTTATTAACCTCAAAGTATGACGACGACCCTAGTCGAAAATACACTCATTTATATATTGATTTGTACACACACTTGCTTATTAATTGGAAATAAGATCACATTAAAAATACCCAGAGTTATAGCTAATCGCATTCTGTATATCATGCTGAAGATAATTGACGTTCATTTAATACAAAGAATATAAAATATTGTTTTATTTATTTTATTTATTTGAACACATAAATATTGGTACAAGAGTGCACCAAATATATGTGCGCCACACAAAGCAAATATTGAATAAAAATCAGGCCGAAATAAACCAATGTTATATTGTATAATCATCATGCTGAATTAAACACAAAAGTAATGTTGAACAAGAGTCACAACGAGTCAAAATGTGATTTTGTCTTTTGATCCTTTCATATCACCATGTTGAGATATAAGGTGGTGGTCGGAGCGTCGCCTTTCAACTACCTCCAATCACTACCTTATATCTCAACATAGTACACTAGATCTCCTCACCTGGACTAGTGGCCACGTTGCAACTTGATCGATAGGATTTAATCTACACTAAGAAGGACTTGACGTTAATGATATTGTTCATCATCCAGTGATCAACCTATTGTAAATACAGATCATTATTTCAAAAACTCAGTTGCGGCCTGGATAGCTCAGTGGTGACATCTCTGATCATGAAGCTGGGTGACAGGATATCGAATCCATTAGCGAACATCAGTTCTCTCATGATTACAGGTACGATTTACTGACGATTGCCAAATAATACGAAACATAAGTTCAGGATTTCCTGTTGATTGCCTTCAATCACCGCCTTACAGGTTTAAAAACAGAATCGGAAGGAATATGGAACATACATTGGAATGAAACTGTAAATAACTGATTAGTGTCAAATTAAAATGTATATTCGAAGTAACTTGTAGTAAATTCATTAGACTATTGTACTGATAAAGTTCAATCCGTTCATATATCTCCTTCTATTCAAGTAATTTGCAAGCAAATATTTCAATTGAGTTCTATAGCAAACTAACGATATTAACTTAAAGGACCAACTAGATATTTGAAAATCATTGATTTATATTGCTTATAAATGATAAGAATGAACCTTCAATTTTCCATTTTAATTCTTCAGTTTATCGAGACTTAGAAAATTACAGATTAACAAGCTAATTTAGTACATTTGAAAGTTTTCAGTAATAAGAAAGTTAATAATTTTTAACTAAATACGTATGGACAGTCCTACGTATCTGTTTGAATACAGATCACTAATATAAATACACAAATGATAAAGAGTTTTTCATCGAACGTTTAAACACTTTTCACGTCTAGCATATTTATGGATCGTGGTTAACTCTATATCAGTAATAGTCATAATAGTTGTAACTGATCTAAATGATTCATTACTAAATTCTCCAGCAGTTTGCCAGGATGCATTTTATTAATTCAATCGGAATTACTTATAAGTAAGTAACATGATTCTGAACTTAAATTATATTAATTAGCATCATAAATTTCCCTCTACCAATTAGGTCTGCTATGAAAGAATCAGACGAGAGATCAAGACAGAAGATTAGTCAATTGGAATCAGAAATAAATCATTTGAAAGCATCAATTCGGCTATCTGATCAAGAAATACGAAGATTACGTAGAGAGTTAAGGGATTCTGAAACAGATCAACATTTATCTGATGCAATGGAAAAATTAAACAATTAGAATCACAAATTATTAGATTGAATAATACAATTAAACAAAATGAAACACATTTGAAAGATGGTGAACAACAACGATCCGAATTATGCCAACAAGTAAGTGATTATTCTATTCATTTAAAAAACAATTTTTAATAGAAGCATTATGTTGGATGTATTATTGTCAAACCTGATAATTCTATCAATTTTCGGATTCTTAATTGTGAAATAAAACATGCATTTAACTGTTATTGTAATTCATTTTAGTTAATAGTAAGGTTTATGGCTAACTTTGACCATTGAGTCAAATGGTGATAACTGCTCAATTAAACTTGGCTTAGAAATCTCACTCTTATTTGCTAATTACTATACATGTTTCAACAGAATAACTCTATGACTGAAGTGCTGAACTTAATAAATAATAGTGTTCATTTTTAAAGTTCAACTTTTTTGTATTTATTGAAATTGCTACTTTCCTTATGCTGATATATGAGAAGGTAGTAGCTCGGATTGTTATATGAATATTCAAGGGTCAATATTATTTATATCCGTCTGTATTTCACCTAGAATTGGTGGGAAAAAAGCTAATTATTGAATATGAAGAAAATTGGCAGTACAAAATTTTACTGAATACTTTCTAGGTGTTATTTATTCTATGAACGTTAAAATTACTGAACATTTATTTTATTCTTGAGTTAGACGCTTCAGCAGATCATACTAAGACCGGTAGAGTTCAACCATATTTGGAAAAGACAGAAATAATTGTTGTCTTGCTGTATCATGAACTGACTGGATTAGATTTTAGATAATGTATTCGCAGTAGGATATATGGGTTTGATTTTGATCACCTGTAAGAGTTGTTGGTGTGCACTTTTCGGACTTACAAACTAGAAAAAACTAATTATATAATTTCCTACCTTACAATGATTCTGCAGTCGATATCACTTTGTCATAAAAATGTTTTCAAATATCTTGCTGTTTTTTTAAAGTTTAAAAATGGTTTGTAAGATTTTTGATCGTCGGTAGATCTATTCGAAAGTATTTTGCCACTTCTATGAGAAAATGACTGTAAATCAATAGATTGAACTTGGTTTTCATATTTTTACCGACTTTCAAATACAAAAAGTTACTAATAAAAGTTTAAGCACTCGCCTGACGACCTAAACATCATGGGTTCAACCTTTATAGGGTCGTGGATTCATAGTGCTGACAAGTTTAACACTAGAACTAAACAGCTATCGAATAGTTGTATAATTAAAATCAGCCATGATATTAGTCATAAAATCTCCAGAAACCCCCCAATATAGTAAAACTGATGGAATAGTTGATTGAATTAGTAAATTTCTCTGATATCATTGTGGAAACGCAATGAAACGATTCTATACCAAAACAGTAATGATAATTCGAATACAAATGTTGAAACAAATATATAAAAAGATTTAAAAAATAATACAACAAATTTATATTCATTCCACTAAGTAAAATCATGAGTCAATTGAATCTAGACCACCATGGAAATCCTGGAAGCACTGGACGGCCGTTTTGTTCCAGTATGGGACTCCTCAGCAGTGCGCACCCACGATACCGCAACCCGCGAGATTCGAACCCAGGGCCTATCAGTCTCGCGCGCGAGCGCTTAACCATTAGACCACTGAGGCGGCATCCAATGGTGTTAATGTCTAACTTCAACCAACCCACGAAGTTGCGAGGTGGTCTAGTTGGTTGCGCGCCTTGCGCAAGACTGATATGTCCTGGGTTCGAATCTCGCGGTTGCGGAATCGTGGATGCGCACCGCTGAGGAGTCCCACACTAGGACAAAACGGCCGTTCAGTGCTTTCAGGTTTTCCATGGTGGTCCAGCTTCAAATGAATCATGATATCAATCAGTGAAACTTCTAAAAATCCCCACAAAACCCCTTTGATTATATTCATTCCTTTTAATACAAGTTCGGAAATAGTTTATAATTTCAAATGTCCTATTTCATAAAACGCAAGTGCTATTTAATACACAGAGAGTTAAAGAATTTAACAGAATAAAATGTTACTGATTACTTAACATCATAAATATATGGTTACATTGGCTTGTAATATTTTCTTGCAACCGTTTTTTGAATCGTACACTTTGTTTAATTCAATTCGGTTAGTCAATTTGTACAATTTAAGCCCCCCCCTCCAAAGACGAATAATACAACATAAGTAATAAGTTGTTTATTATAATCGATAGTTTAAGAAATCATCTAAAGTTAAACTTTCGATGTTGAATTCTTATTCAATGACTCAATAGACATACATTTACTACTTAATATATTGTGTTGTTCACATGCATGAGTTATGACTACTAAATCATCGAGAACAGTAAATCTAAGACGTACTAATTGCTAAAACAAGCCTTTTAAAGTTTCATTACATATTATATCAGATATAGAATTATGATTATTATCACCATTTCCTAATTGCTTTTGTTTTTCTATTTATTCTAGGTAAATATTGAACAGAAAACAGTTTCAGCTTTACGTAACGAATTAATTATGGAAAAAATTCAATTACAAAAACGTAATTCTGAATTGAAATGTATTCAAGTTTGTTTAGAAAAGTATGGATTATCAAAAGATTGGTTCAAGGAATTAAGTTCTAAAGAAAATAGCATAGAGTGAGTTGAGTCTTATTTTATATTTTACAGTTTAATTTGTATTTTATTAATTGTTCACTATTGAAATTAAAAAATAAAGGTCAGTGTAATAGATAAAACTTTGTTTAGGTAGATACTTTTTCTAGTATTGTGATTCTATTTTCACAATGAATAATGATTCCATGGAAGGTTGAATTCATCATCTGTTCAGTGTGATTATTTTTAGTTGTGTTTGAATATATAGGATTTAAGATATTCTGTTAATAATCAATGATACGATCATTGATAGGAACAGAGACATAAATTGGACGGAAACTTTCTACTAAAGTTTTTAGTTTTAATGTTTCTGCACTGCAGGATATAGTTGTGACATCCATTTTAGAGGTTGTATAGTATTTAGTTCGTTTAAAAATCAATATCGTATAGACTGAGGTTAGAAATTAGATTTTGACAATAATGATGTTACGTTGATTTATGTAAAAAAGAGATTTGATTGTGGTTTTCAGTGTATACTTCATTAATTTAATCATTGAATTCGATCAATATCAGAAACAGTAAGCGCGTAACGAAATTTACGAAGCAGGTCCATAAACTTAATAGATTTTAACTAAATGACCTTTTATTGTTGCTACTATTGAATACTGAAATAAATGCATCATTTATAATGAGGATGATAAAATTTTAAGCGTATGTGATAAAATGAAAATTATTTCCTAGGCTCCAATGTCTTTTGGTTCATTTTTGTATGGGTTGTTTCAATCTTTTCATGAACGTGTAGGACTGCTGTTGATCAGTCTTGTGTTGGCATATGTGCATCCTGTGTGGATTGCCTTGATAGTGCTTTAGGTAACAAGCATTATAAACGGAGGTAGAAGGTGGCTAGCGATGGAATCCAGGACACTGGTTTCGTCCCATTTTGAAATCGTCAACTGGATGCATGTACATCTCAGTGTGTGTTCATATCTGGGCTCAGTAATGTTCGCTTCAAACGCCATCGCATTATCCACTTAGCAGTCCTATACGCAAATCGGAAGATTCAAACAACCAATATAGAAATGAATTAAAATTCATCCGATTGCACAAGCCAGTAGCTATTTGGACTTAGTAGCTAAGTGGATAACATGATGGCGTTTGAAGCGAATGGTACCGGGTTCGAGTCCAGATGCAAAAGGACACCGAGATGTATACTCTTTCGGTTGACGAGTCAAAAACAGGACGAAACGCGCTTCCTGGGTTCTTCTGTTAGTCACCATCTACCTCTACTTATAATGCTAATGCCATTTATTTAGCTTATCAAGAATTGATGAAATCTACTCTCTGTAAATTTGTCAGATACAAAAATGTATGTACTTGATTGACACATCAATATAAATATGTAAGTAATGTGAATAATTTAGTTGTTATGCTAATAAAACTAGCAAACAGGAGTTAGAGGAGCAGAATTATCCATAGGTATCTGTTGTAAGCATATCGAGTGTAGCGTAGTCTAAAATCTTTGATGCAAAACACAAATATAGTAAAAATTAGTCTGAAAATTATACCCCAGGATACACCAGCCACTTATTAAACGGATTGAAAATAACTGATAGTGTTGGTTAAGACATACTTAGTGAATATTGTAAATGTTAAGGATAACTTTAGCCAGTCCAAGTATTCATATTTAATTTTAGAACCTATGAATTTTACAAACATGCTCCATGCAAATTATGCATGATGTCAAGCAGTTATGCCACATAAGTCCTGTTAAGTGATCAGATAGATATGTATTAGCATAGTTAACGTTAATAATCGGGAATTCCTTTTATAAGATACTGTAGTGAGATTACACAGTAAGAATTTATTTGATATTTTGACATTGCTTTCAACATTTTTATTTCATTTCGTTGATATAGGGTTCAAGAGCTAGAGTAATAAAAACTGAATAATTATTATTGTCAGTATGAGAATTTGAGGAGATTGAATTCACGAGCCGATTACCATTAAAAACCTGGAGGCATTGAGCGACCTGCTCAGTAATCAAAGGTTAAGTGTTTGCACGCGAGACCGAAGGTACTAGTTTCAAGTCTTGCTTTCGGGGTCGTTGGTGAGCACTGCTGAGGGAGGAGCCCAATACCAGGATGAAACAGTCGTCCAATGCTTCCAGGTTTTAAATGGTGGTCTACCTTAGATCAACTCTTTAATTCAACAATGAAAACTAATTATTGTCAGATAATTCCCATTTAAACATTAAAATTAAAACACGAATTTCAGCGAAGGGATCTCTTTTCAACGAATTTATTATCAAGCTGTACAATCGTATATATATGAAAATTTTGTTTTTGTAAAAGTACTAATTCCGTGAGGAAATGTGAATATAGTTAATATAAAGGTTATAATACTAGATTACGTAATATGAATAATAACAATAACAATGGCTTTGGTGAATATAATAAGATGATTAAAGTGTTTTTGATATAATAATTAAAGGTCATAGAGGTGTACAAAAATAAACTGATATGATGAGCGTTCATGCATAAAACAATGAGAATATAAGACATAAGTAAAGGGGAATGCAGTAATAATAATAATAATAATAATAATAATAATAATAATAATAATAACATTAATGGTAGGATAATCAAACTAATTAAGGCCAAGGTAACGATAACGATAAGACGTACTTCTTTTGTACGCATAGTTCTGGTTTAAGCTCCTGGATGGCAAGAGCTTCGGCTATTTTTAAAAGTTGTATACGAAGAAATCTGGGTAGATTTGAACGAATCATATAAACAACCTTAAAATCAATTTGTGGATCTGTTGAATGGTTATAGTCAATTAGGTGTTCAAGAATAGAACTCCTAACTGCTTAACGATCGTAAGCAATTTATTCCATTTGATTGAAATGATTCAACTGATATCTATTTTTTATTTAATTATTTAGACAAACAAAATTAATAGATTCATTTATGGAAAATTTTATTGGTCAATTAACTAAAAATATAAATATTAAAAATGAAGAATTTGATTTAATTAAACAACAAATTAATGGACTTCAATTAAAAAATTCCGAATTAATAAATCAATTAAAAATAAAAAGTCAAAAATTAGAAGAATATGAAAAAGTAAAAGCTAATAACTGTACTACTAATAATACTACTGATAATTCAATAAAAGAAAATTCTTCAATTTTAATACAAATAAAAGATCGTGTCATTGAACTTGAACGTGAAGTAAGTTAATTATGTTATTTGTGAATTATTATTTGAAATGATACTATAAAAATAAATAAATATAATATATATTTGTCTTGTGCATATTAATGAACAGTTAATCCATTATTGTTACTATAAGTTAGAAAACTGATTGTAGATTCGTTGTGCTCTGCGCCATTCTCAAAAAAAATTGTGCAAATAATTCAATATCAATAACATTTTTTGTATTTGTAGTGGTAGTTTAATGGTTAAAGCACTGGATAAGTCATTGGTATGACCCCTGCTCTGTATGCTTCAGTTTGGGCAGCCAGGTTGTCTCAGTGGCTCTCATACAAAAGTGTGACTCTAAATTCACTTGGTATTGTTTACTTAAATCTTCACATTGATGTTTAGCACTGCAATTGTTTACTCTCTTGTTGGCATATATGCATCCTGTTCGGACTGCTTCGATATTGCTTTAAGTCACAAGCATGTGATTATCAGGACTCAGTAATTATGTGGATAACGCGATGACGTTTGAAGAGAACGGTACTGGGTTCAATTCCTGGAGTGAACATCAACTCTGAGATGCAGGTACATCCAGCTGAAGAGTCTCAGATAGGATGAAAAGCGCGTCCTGGATTCCACTGCTAACCACTATCCATGTTTGTTTATAAAACTTCTGATCCATTGATTTGAAGATGATTCATCCGTAGATAGACTTCTATAATGCTCGGAAGTAGGAAGAAATAGCTTTTTTTCACTGCTTCCCCAACGCTTAAAGCTCCTCAAGCGATAAAATTTACGTATTTTTTCAATTCATAAGAATATTTTAGAAATAATAGTAATGATTTTTATTATTACAGAATGCACGTCTTAATGAAGCGCTACAAAATGAAACTGCACAAATGAAAATATTAAAGCAAATAATCAAAACTTAGAAATACGTATTAATACTTTTCAAGAACAATCTGTTTCAATACAACGACAATTAGCTGAATTAATTGCAACAAATGCTCGTTTACAAGTTGAAAATACTACATTGCATAGTCAGTTAGATAGTTTTCAAGGTCAAAATTCTAATCTATCTGCACGAATTACTGAACTTGAATGTAAGTGATTCAATGTTTATTTTGTTTTATTCATAAGAATTTTGTTATAATTGTATTAAATATTTATGACTTGAAGTGTTATTGTTTAAATTTGAATTGTTCTCTCTTCTAAAATTTTACATGAAAAACATTTTTATTTCATGCAAAATAATCATCTATAGTAAAAGCTGAAAAAGAGTGTTTTAATACAAATAAATGACTAATAGTGATAGTAACAATAAATAGCTTTTACAGTCTTTTTGGTGATTATATATGTTAATAAAGTGTTAAACTCGAGATAAAGTGTGTTTACATAGAAAACAGTTGTAGTGAGCTAGTTTGGATTTACTTTTCGTAGACAATATTAGCTTGATAGAGTGAGGGAGATTGATTTTCTTAACAGAAGTTTAAGGGATATACATAAAGGAACTCGCCAAAATCAACGTTTAATCAAAGTGACAGTAGACACTTAGTGAATTTAATAGTTGAGATCATGAGTCGATTAAAGCTAGATCACCATAGGAAACTTGGAAGCCGTTTCGTTCTAGCATAAGACCCCTCAGTAGTGCGCATCCACGATCCTGCTCGCGGGACTCGCACCCAGGACCTATCGGTGTCGCTCGTGAACGCCTAACTTCTAGACCACTGAGCCGGCATCCAATGGTATCAATATTTAACTTTAACCAGTCCACGAAATTTCACCACTCGGTGAATTGATGTACAAACATTCAACATACAGAGAATTTCTCATGAATCAAATAAATGAAAGCGAAAATCTTCAGATATATATCGTTCCCGACAGTGCAACATTTTCAATACTGTAATTATATTAAATAATTAATTGTTAATGTGTTTTACATCTTTCATCTACTAGTTTCATATATTTATTATTAATCTAGCTGAAATTCATCATTTATCAAATGTACTTGATACAATGCATACATCTAAATCACAATTAACTACTGATTATGAACAATTACAATGTTTACATGAAAAATTAACACAAGATTATGAACAATTAATTGAAACATTGAAAACTTCAAAAGAATCTCAACGTCAATTAAAATCAGAAATACAATTAGCTAATGAACAGGTTAATAAATTACAAACTGAAGCAAATGAAGTACAACGATTAAAAAATGCATTAGAACAAGAAAGAGGTAGTTTAAAAGGTGAGATTTAATAGAAAAAATGTTATAAATCATATTTTGATCTCATTGGTGTTTTTTTGTTGTTGTTTCAAGATCAAAGTGACTAACTGCTGTCAATACTAATAGCTGAATTATGATAGCATTTGACATCAATGTTTAATGGTAGGATTTCTTCAAGGTGTGTGAGTAGTTTTAAACGAATCAGTTGACGAAATTATAATTTATGAACGAACCAATCAAATTTAGGAAAACAAGCCTTAGATCTTGGCGCGAAATTCATTCATTCATTTGGTTAAATAACATTTTGGCATTTTAGCTGATTTCAGTTCGTGATGAAAAGTCTAAATCTAATTCCTAACCATCAACTGCAAATCATAATCTTTATTTATCATACTGGTTCATAACCCTCATTTAGCACTAATAGATAGGTAAATATTCTTAAGGAAAAATGTTAATCTGAAATAATGTTACACTGAAAAAAGTAAAACTTACTATTGTACTGACTAAATTATTACACTGAGGATAAAATTAATGTTGAAATATCATGAAAACTGATGTCATGAAATGTTATATAACATTAGGGAAAAATTTGAATTGTCTACTTATCCTGACTTATAAATGTATTAAATTGAATGGATCTTGATGTGAAGTACATCAATCTTTTGTCAGATTCAACGAATTTACTTTCTATTCTAATAGTGATATTAAGTAAAAAAATTTTATGTTATCAGTCTAGAAATTGATTATTCTAATTTTTTATTGAGGATTCTGTTATTTATCACAGTTTATAATTCATTTATTTGTAATTTGTTCAGTTATCTATATATTACTCGTCATTCAAACTAGATATATACATAAAATTAGAACATATAAGTGATAAGTCTTGCGGACTGAACACTATCTTCGTCTCCTAAGCTATTCTGTAACCCCCAAGCTAGAACTATACAGCGACCTGAACACGAGAGAGAAGACGAAGAAGTATGCGAAAAGTAGTTTACTCCAAGGTTCATTTTAATGCAGAAAATACAGGGTTTTTATAATATTTTAAATGTCCTTGGGTTGCTAGAAGATTCTGGAATGCTACTAAACATAGTAGCAGTATAGCAATCCATCAATCAGAACCTCTACATGTGACGTTTCGCTTCCTTGATATTTTTGGCTAAGACTTCAAGTGAACGCTGATTGGATGAAACGCTTCTTAGTGTTTCCTGATGCTTGCTTGTCTTTTGCAAGCAATTTTCTGGATCACCCCAACAATAAGTAACATTAGTGTCCAATGGTTTAGTCGAGTCGTTTCAACACTAAATTTATATTTTTAAATCTATATGCATATGTATAAATATATGATTAATAATAATAATGATAATAGTACCATTACAATTTGATGATAAATAATTTATTACCAGGTGAAGTGAAACAAATTGTTCAATTCAGAGAAGAAAATGCACGTTTACAATCGGAATTAAATTCTTTAAATTCAATATTAACTCGTGAAAGACATGAAAAAACTAATATATTAGAACGTAATCGAGAAATTCGTCATCAATTACAAGATAATGAACATAGAAAAGAACAATTAACTAATGAATTACAAAAATATCAAAAATTAGAACAAACATTAAATAATGAAATAGAAAGTTTAAAAATACGATTACAAGTAAGTTCAAATGAATTGTTATCTGACAATATGGATAATTTATTGATACTAATGTAGATCCAACCATAAAATCTGGGAAAATCAAGTTGAAATTTTACATGTGATCAATATATTCTTTTTGGTGGAAATCTGAATATATATGGTTAATTGTATAATGGACCGTTGATTAAATATCTGTTATTCGAAAGCTGGAATGTATTCGACAGTAGTAGTAGTACTGAATGGTTATTTAACATCAATTTTTGAAGTTCTAATGAATGTTTAAGTCAACGGTATTCAGTCACACATATATCTTCTAAACATAGCTCACATGTGGTGAAATTATCGAGTGAGTAATGAGGTGGTTATACGTATTTCTAATCAAATAAACACAAGGAATCAATACATGAATTCACTGATTTTTGTTTTAAGGTTTGTTAAGAAACACAAACTTTACTTTGTTTGGATACACACGATCGTTATTGTTTTTTAGTGTAGTCATCAATTGATGTGGCCCGGACTCATTTATAAATACATTGCTATTTATGGAATTTTTCTACATGTTTGTTATGATGGACAGAAGTAAAGTATCTTTAGTTACTATATGACCATTTTTTTTCACCAATATTTCTGATAAATTGATTTATACTATTTTAATTGTACATTTTGATGCATAATTAAGTGCATTAATTACTTGAGATGTGTACTCATACATTCAATCAAGTTGATCAATGATCCTTTTTCACGGGATCTATTCAATTAGAAGATATTTAATGAATATTTTCATAAAAGAAAGATTAATTATTTCAGTCCTTTCATTAATTGTATTGAGTTAATCTTTTATGCATAAGATATTTTATTATTATTCCTTTTTAATATTTTCTTTATACATACTATAGATGTTAACAGAACTTAGTTCAAAATATGAAAAAGAAAATAAATCATTACTTAGCCAATTACAAAGTTTATTGAATCAAAATCAAGAGATTTTAGCATCAACTTTGAAAAATTGTGAAAATCATGTCAGTCAAGAAGGTGTACTTAGGTACTAGAATTTTTTATTGATTTTTTCTTTTTTTTTTAGTGTCATAACGTGTAATTGTGTTGTGAACAATTCGTTTATAAATAAATCAATTATTGTAATTTCATATTACTGAGATTTACTTTAATTTTTAATGTGGGGATCTTCCACAGATCCTTAAACTGTTGACAAACAATTGACTCATGATTTCAACGATTGAAATTACTATAATAACCCTTCTGATATTGATTATCAGTTTAAAATCTGACTATAGAATTGTATATTTGTTAGCAGAGATTTAAATGATAAAATAAATGTATGATTGAAAGAGACCTTTAACATCTAACTTAAAATATGGAATTATTTCAGTAGCTACATCTTTCAACTGTGCAAAAAAGTTGATAAATAGATAAAGATTTACATAATTATTATCAGAATTGGAATTTGTACAGACTGTATTAATTTTCATAGTTGAATTCATAAGTCTATATAAACTAGAATTCAACTATTAGAATTACTACAATCTGCACAAATCTCCATTCTGATAATAATTATGTAAATCACGAAAGCACGAAACTTAGACCCAGAGTTTATTATTAACTACTTCCAATCACCAGTTCACATCTCAACATAGTTCATGAGATGTTGAGTCTGCAAGACTAGTGACCAAATTGCAATTTAATTGATAGAATACGGTCAGCACTAAAAAGGATTTGACATACATGATATTGGTCACTACTTAGTGATCAGGCAATTGTAAATACATGGACATATACTCAGTAAAAATGGTACACTATTTTATCGGATCCTATGTTATTATCACTTTATTGATACACTAAATCTAGGTATGTTATCAACAACATTAACTTATATATATATACTTGATAGCGTCACTTTAAAACGTTAAGAATCAAAATTCCGTACCTTTTCTATTTTGTAGAGAACGTTTATTATCTATGCATAAACAAAAACAACAACTTGAAGAAAAAGTTATGGAACAATATCGTAATGGTTCATCATCTAAAAGGTATTTTTGATGTTGTTAATTAAACAAGTTAATTTCTATTTAAATTAATTTTACATTTTATTACATAAATTAATATATCAGTTATTTGAATCAGTGTGCTCTGTTATCTCCTGTTCTTTTCTTTATTTATAATTGCCCCGAGATTATTAAGATCTACTGAATTACTTTACAGTAATTATTCGTAATTTTTAATTAAGAGAAGGGAAATGATACTAAAAGTAAATATTATTCTTATATATTTGAACTTTTTCTCTTTTTTATTGATCAATGATATATTATGTGTCTATAAGTGCTGCGACAGCTTTCAAAAAGCACAACAAAACCTCCAGAGCTTTTGAAAGAGACGAAAGAGTTTCCATCTAATTAGAGCCTAGTGGAGCATTCTAGAATATCAGTGTGGTATGCTACGATTAGACGGTAGCATAAATTACCTTCTTGCGCATTGGATGAACTATAATGTTGTTGTAGCTAACGCTAATCCCTATAACTGCCCAGGTTTTTCAGTACATTTTTGATTATAACCCAATAATCATATACACTGATTTTTCCGATTTGCAACTGTGGGGTTATACACATTCAAGTACTGTTAGTTGTATATAGTATTCTACCGTAATCAAGTAGAGGACGTAACAATAAGATTTTTATCAGAGGAGGTTCTGTAGATATCATGGTATTTCTAATAGTTGAATTCATGAGTCGATTGAAGCTAGACCACCATGAAAAACCTGGAAGCACTGGACGGCTTATTGTGAAACTCCTCACTGAAGACAATGGTGGATGTGTCGCTCGATTTCGTGGATTAGTTGAAGTTAGACATTAACACCGTTGAATGCCGGCTCAGTGATCTAATGGTTAGGCGTTCGCGCGCGAGACCGATAGGTCCTGGGTTCGAATCTGGCGAGGCGGGACCGTGGATGCGCACTGCTGAGGAGCCCCACAACAGGTTTTCCATGGTGGTCTAGCTTTAATTGACTCATGATCTCAATTAATAAAATATGATTTTTAGAAACTGTCTTTTTTATGAATTAATGTTATATTTTCTATAAATATAGAATTAAGTGAAGTATGAATTCTGGAGTACATCTGTTTCAAATTAGTTACATACTATACAATAGATGTAAATTGACAAGTATTTCAGTATAAAAGAAATGTTAAATTTTAACATTAATTGAAAGACCTATCATCATTAAGTATATATAGTGAAACACCACCAACTGTCCACTTACCGATCAAATTACTCGTTGTGTAATTTTCATATATCTGTAGTTAGTTCTCGATTAATTTTATAGATTAGAGATTCTTACTACAGACTTCATGACATTGATCTGTACATGAGTTTTTAGTTAAGTGAAGATTAGATAAGTCGTTGACTTTGTTACTTTGGTTAACAGTTTTCTTGAAGTTTGTCATAGTAATTTATTTTCAAAACGGTCAGTCTGGTTAAGGATGGATTAAAAAAATTCTCAATTATTATATTTTATTCATTCTAGCGATTTGACTAATCAACTGCTTTTAGAGTAAGTAATAAGGAGAACGCTCAAAAAATATTGAAACTATATTCTGCTTGCTTTACCTCAAATTTGCACATTTTACTTATATAAAATGCACTTTGTCTGTAAACACATGTTATGCTATATGCACAATTATTATTTCATATGTAGAACTGGCTTATTTATAAGAAAATATTGAGTATTTTATGAACCTTGATCTAGATCGTCTTAGTTACTTCAGATTGATTTGTGATGATTTATGGATGAAGGGGAATAGAAAATTTTGAGGATATATATATAATATAAGCTCTAATTAATGATCACGTTAGGATCATGCATTCGGTGTTTTAGCCATACCTATTCCTTTATGGTTAGTGATACTAAACATAAGTTCATGATGGAATAGGGTAAGCAGGTTGAAAATCAAAAGCTTTAGTCACTGCTTTGTATGAATTAAGTGTCTTATACTAGATTGTAGACTACATCAACGCCATGGATTTCATTTTAATATCTATTTCCATACAATTTCTTAGTACATTTATATCAAGTAGTCAGAAATAGTATTATACAATCCTCATTAATCTATTTGGAGGCATAATTATCAGTTGAGGTAAATTCCGTTTACAGATTAACCTTATTCAATTCATGATTATTACAATAATTAGTTGGCAATTATTTAAAATATTTGAATAAGTTGATGATTCATTAAAACAAAATGAATACATCGATCAAATCCCAATCTACTATGAACATTAATTATTCATAATATTTTGTTTAAAGAATAATTTACTACTCAATTTGTTTTCAGTATATATTTTAAGCTGGAACAATGAATATTAAAGCTTTTTAATCTGAAATCTGTATTACTTAATGGTTTTTAAACGTAAAATTGCTTACACAAGTATTTTGTTTTACTTTCTAAGTAAAATAAAGCTATAAATATGTTTATGTATGCATGTACAACTGCATTATGTTGATATTTTCTGTTTATCTATTCAGCTGTACAGTATTGTGTTAATGATGATTGTAAATGCTTATGCATGTCATAATTTGAATATTTCTACTTAATGTTCAGTATGTAGTACAAACAAACAAAAAAAGAAACTATCAAGTCAGTGTTTATTTGTGGTCGTTAATCTTTTAAGTAACAGGTAATACGTTCGAACACCACTACACTGACTTTAATTAACAAACCTAAACAGTTCAGGTAGCTTTCAAATAAAATATATAACTTGAAGTAGAATATACGAATTTGTACTTTGTCAAAGATTTCCTTAATTAGTGGAGTTAAAGTGTGTTGACCACTTGAACTGGTCTGTCATTTGAAAAAATGTCTTTATATTATTTAATTTGTATTTCAATCTTATTTCACAGCCTATTCTAAACGGTTTTACAGAACACTTGGCATTCTTTCACTATTTAAAATTTGTTTTATTTGTTTGATTACTGAAATCTTGTGTAATCAAATTTTTGCAATTTGTGATGTAATCTGTAAACAATTTGTGATATAAAACACATTATACAGTTAGAAGTACATAGTAGTGACTAGACAATCAGGTTCAAAAAAGTGATTCTTCAATTTTCGCACCACCCCATACACACTCATGTTTGATTAATATCTTGACGACAAATTCATGATTTTCACTGACTGTTTATTCATTGGTTAAAACAAGATATAATCACTTTAACATTATTCATAGAGTGGTTTATCATCGTCGATCAAGTATAGTTTTACCAGTATAGTTTCACTTATAATCTGTATAGTGTATTTATATGATCTATGGTCTCATACAGTTATCTCTCTCATGATATCGTATTCATAAACACACACAGGTCAATAATTTTATCATACCAATGTATAAGTAAATTTAAATTATATATATATATATATATATATATCACCCATCAAATTTATTTGATTCTGTTATTTTGTTTAATTTCTACCTTGATTTCTGATTCATTTATAGAAGTCAAAGACGTTTGACGCTTATTCAACGAGCTCGGGCTGCATTGAATAAAGTAAGTAAATACGGTCAGATAACTTTACACATGCATGGGTTTTTATGAAGATTCACTTTAGTCGGAAGATAATTTCTTTTTTAAATTAAAAACTGATCTCAGCTACAGAATTAATGAAAACGGGAGGATATCAGTCTGTTGTGAACGCCAAATTTAGGGCGTAATAATCTTAAAAAACGCTAATGTAAATCGTAATTGTATGATTAAGAATGGCAAGCACTGAAATTGATTTATCAGTTTTATTGTAGAGTTAATGTGAGTAGGAATAGTGAGCGAATTTCTCATTGAAAAAATCACATAACTAGCCAAATTATATTGCGAAATAACTGGATTTTTGATAGTCGTGATCATTGGATCTCCAGCGGTCGGGAGAAATAACTTGCACATTATGAAATCAAGTACAGATTCTGATTTCTGCTCCATACTGAGTCATAATTTCTGTTCTAAGATAGCATAATTCATCAAATCAAATAATAAGATTACTAAAGTAGGAAAGACCGATCAATCGGGTATAGATATATTTATTTATTATTTAAACACATAAACATTGGTACAAAAGGCACCAAATAAATATTCGCAACACAAATCATTCGATTTGTGTGAGGGTTGGGATACTGCCCGTGTGCCCAAACCGAAGCAGGTGGTTTTCCTAGAGGGCCACACCCCGGGCCTTTGACCTAAAGGTCTAATCTACAAGGTAGTGGAGCAACGTTACAAGATGCAGTCCTATGGTAGCCAGTGACCAATAATTGATTGATACGCCATTTGTTTCCTTAGGATCTTGAGGCCCATGTACACCATTGGTTTTGCATCAGTGTTTTCCAACTCCTCTAGGTAGATCCTGCGTATCCACCAACTCGGTTAGAGCGCCAGTGCTATGTTTGAAGCGATTAAGAGTTCACCTAGTCTGCGAACGAAACAAAGACTGTGACCAAAGACCAGTAAGCTAGGCATTCCGATGCGTCCCAGCCCCGCTAACTAGAGAGAAGTCCAAATTTGAAACGGGGAAATATATTCTGTAAGCAGCCAGAAGCATGAGCAACCACGAAAGTCACAAATCAACGTATATATACAGCATAAAATTGCCCTTTCGAAGCGTTACAAAATAGCATACTAAAAGGTACAACGAACCAATAGCGTTTAACATTCTCACAATGGGAAATACAACATGAAGGTGAAAATGAACGCTTTTGGCTGGAAAACAGGAAATTTAAATTTTCAAAATAAAATTACAAAAATAAGGTATTTACCAAGTGAGTTCTGGGGATCTAACATTCCCAACAGTCGGACATTCGCTTTGCGTCCTCTCAATTTCGTAAACAACGCCGTCGCTGCGAGAATTCGGTGAGTAGGACTTCCCTGGCAGTCGTTGTATGCAAGTGGCCATATAAGAGCATTTCGAGAGGAAGAGCTGACTCTCCCCACCTTCATCCGTCCCAGGAACACTTGAGGGCTTGGGTATAAAATCGATTATCTAATCCACAAAAGAAAACTGAATTTTAAGATAGAATAATTGACCAACCAGTTCAAACAAAAAAGTCTGACTATGTATAGAGCAATAAATAGTTAATTAAGAATAAGAAAATTGGCAATCATGTCATAATGAATAGTCATTTACATCTACTTATATTAATTTTAATAATAGTTTAATTCATCAGTATTCAATACAAAAATGTAATATTGAACTTGTTTCACTAGTTCTGTTCCTTTGGGTTGGATCTTACAGAGAAAAAAAAAACTCACTAGATTTTTTTGTTTACCTTTCTATTAACCATCTTAGTTAATCATTCAATACTCAATCTTTTGATCGTTGTTTTTTTCTTTTTATTAAAATGTTTGCTGAATTCTTCTGTTAGCATCATTTTCCACACAATGCTGAATACAATAAAAATAATCTAGGTAAGCTGAACTAATTAAAACAATTTTTTTTGTAAGCTTTCTTCGCTTGATATATTTTGAGCAGTATAATATTTTCATGTTAAAATAGTATTTGATTTTTGAGAAAAAGAAATGCTTTTCTGTTGATTCTTGATTGATATTGAATAACTTTCGAATGCATTGATATCTGAAAACATTGATTATTGAACAAAATTAGTGTAATATTCTGTCAAAGGAAAAAGATGGATGCGCACTGCTGAGGAGTCCCATACTAGGAGAAGACGGCAGTTCAGTGCTTCCAGGTTTTTCATGGTGGCCTAGCTCCAATTGACTCATGATTTCAACTATTTAAATAAAGTTGTCATATTTAGGTTTATGACCGTTGTTGCTACCTTGACGTGGTGGTCGCGCTTGCCTATTGTGATGAACTAATCGAGCTGTACTGGCTGGAACAACCGTTCCTCAAGACTAAAAGCAACAAACTCAAGGTCCGAAGGCGAAGTCGTACTGCTGACTGTACAGAGGTGTGACAGCAGTAAGGTGTTTCCTTCAGACAACCAGTATGACAGCGATGCTGCCTCCTCACAAGGAGGAGGGGTGGGGTTAGAAAAGGTCGACCCTAAAAATGCACACCTCGCCTTATCCCACGGATATCCGTCTCCGGCGGTAAGGTCTCAAAAAGTACATAGCTAACACAAATATAACTCACAAAAAGGTCATGTGTGACCGACCTCAAGAAGTTGTCCCTTGAGCACTGCGGTCACTCTCTCAGGTCACTAAGACTACCTCCAATCCAATTTCCTTTTCAGGTACCTCCAGAAGAACCCTTCCACGGTATGGGCAATCGGGAAGTGATAACCTCCCTCATAACTCTAACAGCACTCAAGACCACTATTCATAATCAGCCTCCCTCTCCAATTCCTATTATTCCTCCTACATCGATTGATTTGACCAGTCACAAGTAGACTGAAGTTTGAAGTGTAGACTATTTAAATCTGATCTAATGTTCTAGAGATATCAAGCTCATTGGAAAATTTGAAAGTTCCAATTTTACTCTTAAATAGTATTGTATTTATATACTAATGAGAAGTTCTAGACCAAGAGGACACTTTATGCAGAGTTCTCTTATTTTTAGTCTTCTGTCTGACGTCATATTATGGGTAAAATTACCTTCATGTCAATATCTGAACACATGTACCTCGCTGTTTCTGTAAAATTAAATTAGAGTTGAGAAAATTTATGAGATAAATTAAGTTTTTAACACTTGTATTTGACTGGTATGTTGACTACTTTGAATCAATTCAAATGGTCGGCAGATCATAAAAAGAGTTCTCATTAGCATTTAATCATTTTATTTTCAGTATATGGTTTTTTCCTTCCCTCTTCAGGTTATAGCACAGTTTCGACTTTACATTCTCAATCTTCCTGGTTAAATGATAGTTACAGATCGATACCAACCATTGGACAAACATCGTCAACGTTGCATCGTTGCGATAAACGTCTTGTACCTGGTTCAGTGTCCATTTATGATCGTGATCCAGACGAACAAAGTCAGGAAGCTTTAAAACAATTTTTAAAATATTTGGATGATTCAAGTGGAACTAACACACGAGTCAGTTGTTAATATTAGTTTATCTACTAAATATTCCTTGTTATTATTTTTGTTCTATAAAGTAAACTTAATTAACTGGTTTATTTGTTAGTTTATTGTTGAGATGTGTTCAATTTCAGAAGGTTTTCTTCTTAAATTGATTTTCGATAATCAATTATGGAGAAACAGAAAACACTAATTATTTGTTTCATTCTATTTTGGAACTTACCAATAGTGTGTATCCTTCAAGTCAAACAAAGAATCAAATTGAAAAAAAACATCAGGCTAATGGCGAATGCGTTGCTTTTAGATCACTGAGTTTTAAATTTAATAGTTTATAATTCTGGTAACAGTTGGTTTATGCTGTAACTTGACGATCATTCAGTGCCATTGACAGAGACCTCTTTCACTCTAATGTGATTGAACTCAATCCGTTATAGTTTTTTACTTGGACTTCAGAAGTTTTCATTAAAGTTTATCACTAGTTAGTACATGGTTGTTATTTATTTGTTTGACTATGATGATTATTTGGATTCTGAAATATTAAATAACTGCGATTTTTTTACAGTCTTAATAAGTATAGATAAAAACAGGATTTATGGTCTAAGCAACCGCCACTATTATTCTCATTGTTGAATCGGAGAAAAAATCAGGGTTCTGTTTTCGTTGATATTGCTCCTACACTTTTTTGAAAAGTGTCAAAGTGAATAAGAACTGGTTTTAGAGCTCGGTACCCAGTGGTTTTGAACTACTTAACGCAAGTTTACTTTCTTACATCAAATTCTATGTAATCTCCGATCTAAGAACTGGAGAGTTGTTTATCAACCCCTAGTTCTGTAATTACCATCATGCTTGATGAAAAATGTTCCCAAATTATATTATTCTTCACAAACATTACTCTTGACGAAATATTTTAAATTAATCAAAAGGATAATGTGGTTGCATCCAGAGTATTAGGCCAGCTTTGACGCACTATAAATAGTACTGTGAATATCATGTCACTTAGAAAACATCAATAAAAGATTATTTTACTTTATAACCAGTCTTCCATATTTATCCACCATTTGTGTATATTTTACTTAGTACTAGTTCTTTGTTGCATGCACTTTTTGATTCCCAAGTTTGACCCAACTATAAACCCAAATAGATTTATTCACTAGTCATAATGATGTGTTGGTTGATCTATAAAAGGTATCTGTCGAAGTTTTGTATATCATAGTTCTGCATAATGTGACTGTGCCGATATTCATTCATATTGACATCTTTATTAAACATGGGTTTCGAATTCGAATTTGGAGGAACTATTGGCGGCCTGTTTGAATATTTGGGTAACCTGTTCCTGTCATCTAGATATTTAAAAAATTTACCTGATTTTTATTTGTTTTAACACATCATTATGTCTATTAATCGTATAACCTATTCAGGCGCGTTAATGAAAAGTGTACGACTTTTCGCTGTACAAGTTACAGAAAAGTACAATCAGAGATATTACGGTGGCTGGCAATATACACTGACATGAATAAACATTATTCAGATGTCGATTCCTGAGTTGCTAACGTCTAACTGGCATTCACTCAATGTTTACCATCCGGATCGATCAAGAAATAAGAAAAGGAAACTTGTTGAAATACTTTGTACTGAGAATTCTTTATTGTACCAAAATATAATATTGAATAAAGCCATTAATAATAATAATAATAATAATAATTTAAAGATCAATAGAAATGCAATAATTTCAATGACAGCTTTCAGCAGAAGTATATTTTAGTTGAAAAACTTATTCAAGGAAAGTAAATTGGATAGTTGTTGTTTAATACTTCTTGACACTTTAATTAATGATCTAACTTAAGTAAGAATTAAATCTGTATCGCTTGTTAATTATTCGGTTATTATACATTGTAACTATGATATTGATATGAAATTTATTAACTATGACTAATAAGTATTTGTCAATACTTTAACACTTGACTGACTTCTTAATTCACTGTATTTTTTTCTCTATCAGAAACTCTGAGAACTCACCTTTCAGAGGATTCATTTTGTTACTTAATGGGTGGTTTGAAATTTACTGATGAAGCACCAAAAACATTTGACTATGCAATCATTGTTTAACATGTCCTTTTATGACACTATTTTGTCATAAAACTATCTGTATTAATAAACAGTATAACTAATTTAGAAAGTACAATTTTAACCATTTAGTTTTGAGCGATATATTTGATGCCAAAGCTAATACAGCTACTAGGATCTAACCAAAACGGATGGAGAGGGGTTCAAACTTAAAAAAAATGTGTTTTGACTACAAAGCCACTGTAGATCATCCAACCCTTTAAAAGTCATTAATTAAAATCTGTTCCCACTAATAAATTAATGTTTTTTTTAACATTTTGAAAAATGTTTTTAGATGAATTCATTTCATTATCAACAATTATATTTAAGTGTTAATTTAACCTTTCAGCCAAGTTCAGCTGTTCCTCCTCAAATTTCCAATCATAAACAATTTGGAAATCATGATTTCTTATTACCTATAAGACCAAATTCCGGTGGTTTAACAATGAGTCCATGTATAGAGAAACGACCACAATCAAGATTAAGCTCAGATAGATTTACTGAATGTATGGATTCACCAATTTCTGGTCGATCTTCTCATTCAAGTTCAAATGGTGTAAAATCTCAATTAATTAATCAAACTCATCATTTTCCACACCGAATCGATAAACATATTCTTAATTTCACAGAAAATATAAGTACAAATGAAAAGAAATTTCATTTAAATAACACAAATGGTTGGTTGAGTAAGTTAAGAAAATGTAGTTTTTAAAAGGACTATTATTTTTAAATAAAATAGATTTGATATTAGAAGTTTTGAAGTATTCTGTAAAACGATCTATGACTCAAGTTCTTATTTTTTAAAATGGTACCTATGTTAAAAGTTATATATTCAATATAACCAAAATCAATATTCAATTACAAATCCTAGGCTAATTTATCAATACATGTAGCAGAATGATCAATTTATCGATGATCAAGCTTCATCGAAACTGTGGATAGACAAAACAAGTTAAAAAATGTAAATTATTTACTTCAGCTGAAATAAACAGACTATACATTATAAATTTTAAGCCACCATCTAACTTGATGTATGATGTTTCTAGAGTAGAATAATGTTTGGCAAAGAATAAAGACATGGGACTGAACTATGATATTCTTTATATAGTTTGGATCCGGTTACCTTAGACACAGAAGAGCTTATTATTTATTTCCGAAACTTAGAACATTTTATCACTTCATATCCGTCTCCTCTCTTATTCACTACCGTCTTTTTTTGTTTATTTTACTGCTTTTCTTAGTTTTTTATATTCTAAGTAATATTGTCGCCTAAGTTGAACCATTTTGTTTCGAGTTGCGTACTTATGAATCTGAGTCAGTCCAAAAATCTCCCGATAATCGCTATATATATATATATATATATATATATATATATATATATATATATAACTGAAATAGCTCATTTTTATCTGTCTTGTCAGTATATATCTGCTAACATTGTCTTTACGTAAGAGCAATGAAATGACTTGAAATCAAACATTAAAGGTTATATTCAAAAAAACTTATCTGGTTTATGTATTAACTTCATGCTCAATTAAGTAAGTTTGAGTTTAAATCCTCAATCACTTACCTTTCTATTGTCTCATTCAAGTAGATTTTGTTCGTAAAAATGAATTAAGATTAAGTTGGATAGATAGTTGTGATGGTTCATATATTCTTTATTCATCTGACAACTGTTTATACATGAAATAAAAAGTACATTTAGCCGCTAGCTAACATCTTTTCAGTCTAGATAGTAGAATATTGAAATAGTTGTTTAAAGGCTAATTAAGTGGATTTCAACTACCACCATATATATATATATATATATATATATATATATATATATATATATATATATATATATATATATATATATATATATATATATATATAGAATCAGTTGACCACAAACTAACATTTCTAGATTGTTTGGTTCAACGTTGACACAATAATAAGAAGTTAAAAATAAATGTTTACAGAAAATCAACACTTTCCGAGAGATACTTGGATTTTAATTCAGCCCATTCACAGAGCACGAAAATTAATGTGGTAAAAAATCTAATGAACAGAAGTACTAAGATTGTTACAGACAAGGAATACCAACGAACCGAATTAAATAAAGTATTTTCTACTCTTAGGGATAACAACTACCCAAAAAGGTTTTAAAAAAAGATTATTAAAAATGAAAGAAAAACTAAACTAGAAAGTATACGAAAAGAATGGAAGTACACCGTAGTCATACCTTACCGGAGTGAAACATCAGAAGAAATCAAACGGATTCTAAACAAACATGATATAAGAGTGTATTTTAGAGCAAATAACACATTAAGATCGACATTGGTGAAAGTTAAGGACAAGTTAGCAAAGGAAGAACAACAGATTCACTGTCATGACTGTAATGCTACCTATGTTGGAGAAACATCCAGGCAATTAAATGTAAGATTGAAGGAACACAAACAATGCTTGAAAAATGTTCCAAAATCCTCGGTAGATTTAAAGAAACTTGAAAATAAGTCAGCGATAGCGTTACATGCGTTAGAAACAGGACACAAGATTAATTTTGAAGGGACCAAAATACTTCAGAAAGGTTTTAACACCCATAAAGAAAGATTGACAGCAGAAGCGCTGCATATATGGGCGAACAAGAACAGCCTGAACCGAAAAGATGGTATTCAAATGGCAACTACCTGGCAAATTTCGTTTGACAAGTAAATTTGGAACCTATCTCTTGTTTAAACCTGTTTTTAATATCACATGCATCGTTATTATTATTGAAAGAACTGAATGAGTTTCTAAACAATACAATTTATGTTTTGACATGCACATCGATCTTTCATTATCAAGTTTTCATCCTTGAACTTTATTTATTCCTTCATATCAATCTCTCACACATACATACATACATACCTACACACTCACACACATACGATTTGTTACTCAGTTAAGTATTTCCATGTAGTTGAATTCATCACATGATTTGTAGTTAACTGACTCATTTTATCCTATTTTACAAAAAATCAACATCCAAATATGATTGGTTTAACACAGTATAATCCTGATTGTTAAAAGCTATATATTTCTTTGATAATTTTGATTATTGCCCTGAAGAAGTCCAGACAAGTTAGCTGGACGAAACGTTGGAATTAGTTAAATTTCAATCGCTGAGAATATTTCAAATATAATTTTCACATATAATGATTTCTCTATACTCGGCGCTCAATTACTGTCAAACTATTCGTTCTAATCTTGACGAATATCCGTATATATATATTAGTTTACTTCTAATGATATACATATTACTATTTGTTTGTCTTCTATTTAAAATACTTTCTAGGTAACGATGATTCACGTGATCGTTCAATATGTAGTAGTAATAGTAGTAGTAATGGTATGAATAGTCAAAATCTTCCATCAACAGAAAGATGCGAAAAACAAATTAGTGAGATTGTACAAATTAAAGCAACTACTGATGAATCAAATATTTTAATTCATAAAAACATTATATCAGACAGTAAGTTACCTTTTTTATTTCTATTATATCATTTACTGCTTTGAAATATAAACAAATAGAAAACAGAAAACAACTTGATATCAGCTTCTTATCATATGACAGAGATTATGCAATTTGGGATAGAGATGTATATCAGTTGAAATGTTAGATCCAACTAACCATGATTTATCTAACTGGAGTTTCTATAGTTTTTTTTCTGAAATTGAAGTAGATAAATAAAATGATGAGATCTACTACTGGAATGAATGAGTTGGACAATCATATTTAAGTATTATTATTATTATTATCACCATCATCGGGTTTTAACAGCTAACTCAGAAGTGAACTGTACAATAAGAAATGATTTCATTTGTCTTAAACTGTTTGTTAATTCTGATCATGCTAAAATGAAATGTTCGTTAATTATGCAGCGCCCAAAGGTATCCTAATTTGACTAGCTAGATTTTCTGTACAGTATTCATGACTTCTAAAAATTTTGATTTTTCAATAGTGTATCTTGCCCCAAAACTCTGGATAATTCATATAATTTGGAAAATTTTATTTATTTATTTTTCTCTTGTTTAGCACCAACTAATATCAGTACAAGTTCACCGAAACCATGTCTATCCAGATCCTCATCGTTGTGTTACAATAAACTCAATGATCCAATATACGTGCAACGTGCTTTGAATAGTATGGCTAGTAGTAATGCTAATAGTTGTCAATCTACTCAAATAATAAACAATCCATTGACAAATAGATGTGATGATAATCCTACCAGTAGTGGTACCGTTGGATTGAATAATTCCAAATATTTTAACAACCCTACTTATATCCAACATACAGGAAAATCTTTCGAGTAAGTGATCTGTTAAACTATGACAGAATTAACTAGGTGATGGTAAAATATTCGGCTGAAATATACTTTATTTGGTCATAGTTAGATAGCAGTCTGTTAGACCATTTAACTGGAAAATAGTATGAGGGGAACATTTGAGCAGCATATCTTTTCATCCTTAACTGTTAGCATTTTTTGTAGAGAATGAATCCGTATTCCTCAAATTTACCTTTTGATTCAGAGAAATTTAGTGAAAAATGAATAGCCAAATAAATTTTCGTCTGTAGTTTCATATCACGGATTGAGCTTAACTAACAACATCAACGATTATTAGACAATTGTTTCGTTCTATTATGTAACCCCAGTGGTTTGCAGGTAAACAAATCGCATCGAGGTTTGATAGTTCTAGGTTCGGTGTGTAGTGGGACCGTGGATGTGCAGTGAGGAGTGTCTTACTAAGACAAAAAAGCTGCCCACGATTTCGGGCTTTGATTTCTTGTCTAAGATCAAGTGATATAAAACTACCAAATCTAACAATTTATACAAACTCCTAAGCTAAAAATCCTTTATTCTGAATATTATAGAAACATATGGTAGAAAAATTCTGGAGTTAATTGCATATGTGAATATTATTTTCTGTTAAAATTAAGTACTTTGACTGGTGTCAGTCACCCTAGTCTGAAACATCTTGTTTGCTTTATTAATTTATCTTAGAAACGTAATACTTTGTCTGGTTATTCCATAAGGTTATTTATTGACAACTTACCGAATAACAATAGTTTTTTTTGGGTACCGAGATCAAATTTTGTCGGTAAGCTGGGTGGCTTAATATTATAATTCACTGTATTTATTGTTAAATGAATAGAATCTTGGACATAAATCACATACTATTTATCAAGAAAATATACGTATACAATCTCCAAGGCACTTCCGTTTCCATGGCGACTTTAACCAGTACCGGCCAATGACGCGGCCAGACATGATACTTCTATGATAAATAGATTGAGGCTATGTTTTGAAGTAGATCAAGTACACATCGGTTATTCCTAAATAACAACCATTATTACAGCAGTGTCTAATATTTAGTGTTGATCAAATTTTATCCTATCGACAGGCTTCGTCATGCAGTGGGAAATAAGAAATCTAACAATAATTATTATACAAAGACTAATTTAATTCGACTGAAAGTATCTTATTAAACCTTTTTATTGCTTTTAGGTTAAGTACAAGTTCAAAATCCGAAAACAATCAGAAATCTATGCCATCAACGAATAGTAATTATAATATAAATAGTATGGCTAGTAATTGTACTGAGTCCATCCCAATATTCGACCATCATAAAACATCGAATATGAGTAAATCCGCTTTATTACGAGAACAATTCTTCAGTTCTATGATAGGTGAAGCTGATCGTAATCAACAAACACAACAACATCAGTCTTTAGAATCTTCTTCAGAGTTGCCTAGGAAACCAAAAGTTCTACTGCAATACAGAGATTTGTGATTTATATTAGGAATAAAACATTCTATGTACATCATTTATTTACTCCATTTTTACTTTTTCATAATACATTTGTGAATATCCGCACATAGTATATAAAAAAAGTTATTTCTTATTATCTAGTAACTATATATTTTTTTATAATATAGCTGTGCACAGTGTTTTTCTCTTTTTTTGAATATTTAATTACACACTCCTTTGATCTCACTCTACTAAACATAGATACACGACCCATGTCTTCCTTCCGCACTGTTCGTAATGCAAGGACAGTCATTATGACTGGTTTCGTTTTAAATCTTGTTTAAAAATACGTGGTGCGTATTTTGAATTTTCTTACAATAGACTGAAATTTGAAACTTTTTTTAAGAATAGTGCATAAATCACTTTATTATTATATTTGAATGCACTTGAAATCACATTATCCACAGAATTTCCATGTACAGTTAATTAACTATTATTGATTCTGTTTAATATAAAGGATATTATATACTTACATAAATATTCACACGCTTTTGTTCAATATCCAGTTTAATAATCATGGGAATTTTTGTGCTTCAACACTGAAGATACATTTTGAGTAATTGTTATATAATCAAGTACAGACGAACAAACATTGCACTTAGATCAGTACGTATTTTGTAGTTACAGACAGAACCGTGTTGTCTAAACCAAGATAGATGAAGTCTACTGAGATTATAATTCCAGTTGGTTGAGAATCAAATTCTAATACCATCAAGCCATACCTCTACATATTTATTAATATGTACAGATAAATGATACTACTTGTTTGAAATAATCAAAACGATAGAGTTGCACTAATGTAAGTGAAGTGAAACACAATGAAGATGGTAGTGATAAGATGCTTTAACTTATCAGAGTAGTATGTCTTGTTACATAGTTTACTTGAGTTCTTAAACTCCTAGATATGTGGGGTTACATATGTTCATAACACATAAATATTGCCATCAAAATTCATTAAAACTATATGAATATTTTTCTCACTGAATCCAAAGTAAAAACAATGTTACGGTTCTTCAAAAATTTCAGTAATATTAATAGAGTACTACGTAGTACTCATGTAAAAGTTCATGAATGATTCTTTGATTTGTAAATATTGTTTGTAGAGATGAACTCTGAAGTGGTTTTAAATTCATGAATTAACAATCTAAATTCCACTTCTTTGATATCAACTAAACTGTAGTAACAAACAATAGTAGAGAACACTGATCACGAAAAAAATGTATTTATACACTTTACAATTAGATTTGGTAAACTTTGTACAAAATATTTGTTTGTATAAAATAGTAACATTGATGAGATAATCCAGTATGATGGATAGAGTTCATTTTAAACTGCTAGCCATACTACTTGTAAGCGGAGGAAATGGTTGCAATTTGCTAACAACTAATTTATGTTGTTGATGTGCCAGATAACCTTTGATTTTTCCCTACAAACAAGAAAAAATAATGTACAAAATGGTGTGTTTTAGCGTTGACTATTTAAGGTTATTTGGAAGAAAGTTCTAAATTTACTTTTCAAACTTAATGTTAAAATTACAAATTAACAATTTAAGTCTGATGCAATAGAAGTTTCTCCTACTTCAGAGTGCATCCAGCCTATCACGTAGTGTGGATAACCTTGATAGGCAATTTGTATTGTTGTCGAATTAATCAGTATACATTATTCTGAGAATTTTTCGTCTGACTTTAGATTGGTTAGATAAAACTGCATATAAAGTTGTGTTTTTACTAGATAATGATTCTTCACAGTTATGAGTCAGGTGGTTCCTTCAGAAAACTGAGTGAGGAAAGAGTTATTGTTGCCGATCTGGGTTATTCTACAAATAATGTCAGTTTTATCGTTAAAATTATCAGTAAACAGTATCTGCTATCTTGAACGGACCCATGTTTCTTCTTTAAATGTATACACACTACTCAGCTTCGCAGTGAGAGGTGCTAGTATGGAAATATTCAGGCCGCTCAAATTACGCGCAACCGATCAATTCAAGATTCTCATTAAATACTAAATTATCAATGTGTTGACATTTCCTAACAAGAATATATTACCCTTCAGTAAGTAGTATCATTCATTGTATTAGATGCTAGGGTGTACGATAATTATGAGCAAATCTTAAAATACGATGTTTGCGCCAATAAGGACCATTTGACCTAGAAGTAGATAATTTTATCAAGTCTAGAACTCAATCAAATGCAATTTGGGTATTCACTTAAGTTTGACTGTGTGATTTGTACGACAACAGACTTAATTTTGTGATAACAGTATTTTTACATGGCTGAAATGGGAAACCTAATATCCTTGTGAAAGATATTTTTGATAGATGAGTTAACTGATTTGAGAATATAAAACTAGGTATTTTGTACTTAATTGGCCATGTAACTTCTGCTTAAATTTTGGAAATTTGAGAAATAGATGTTTGATTTGAATGTTTTTAAATTCTTGTGACATGAATACAGAAACACTAAAAAAGGTAGTTCAGATCATAAATCAAAAGCTGTCTTCGCAGTTACAGTAGCCTAGTACTGATCATTGAGTTGGGGATTCGAAATTCATGTCGTCTACTTTAGTTTGCATTATGGATTATCATAAGAAAGATGTGACTTAAAGCCGAGTATACAAATCTTGGTTACGGAATTATATAACATTTCCTTTTATTCAGTGGGATTTAGACTATATTTTATTGAAGATAAATTATGGATTTGGTATATAATGATAGTTCTTGATTGTTTCGAAGTTTTCATGTCATTAACCTATATATTTCTTGGAGTATGTTAGGCATCTGAGTAGATAATATCATTTTAGGAGACCAATTAGATGAACTGAGTAGTGACTAACGTTATGTTTTTCTAGTCCTTTTGGTGCTGAGTAAATTTCATCGATAGTAATGTGACTAATAGCCTAGGTGACTGAATATCGTGTACACTATGCTGAGGTATTAGTTGGTTAGAGGTAGTCAACAGGAAATCCCGACCTAGGGTTTGTATTATTTAACACTCATTATTAAGGTATATCTGTAATATCGAAGGGGCTGACTGCCTCTGGCAAATTTGATTCCGTGTCACCCATATTATAACCCAATCGGTAAAATTCGATCAGCGCTAAAAGAACTAAACAAACATGGCATTGTCCACTACTCAGTGATCAATCAGTCGTAAATATCTCAGTCCTACAGAAGGTCAGTCGCAGCCCGAATAGCTCAGTGGTAATGTCTCAGACTAGGAAGCTGAATGACATATGGTCGAACCCACTAGGAAGCACCTGTCTTCTGAAGATTACGGGTACACCATGGTGATAAGTACCAAATAGCACGAAGTTTTGGTTTAGGATTCCCTGTCGAGCTTAATTATTTATCCAATAACTGCAAAAGTAGTAGGAAATTATTCTGAAGACGAAGATTTCATTGCTGGACGATTGAAATATGCCAGCAAAAGATGATTATCACCATTTAAATACTGTCATATGATTTCGTCACATGTAAGGTTTAGATGAAAGTTGAGCTCCCACTCATATTGACTCCGTGGATGGAGATGAAATGAAACATTCCCATTAGCTAGCACAGTTCTTAATTATACTCATGAATTTTGCTTCGAAAAGCTCGTTTAAAGTGATTATATATTAAACAAGATGAAAAAAATTCGAATTATGGTATTAGATGCTACTTACTTCATGAATGAGATTGGCCAGAATACACTCTGTTTCGTCTGGATCTATATCTTCAACCTGTTCAAATAAGAAATTGTTACATAGTAAATAGATTTGAACTAATCAGACTTCTAAAAATATCATGCAAGTTTGATAGATTCAATAACGTAACTAAAGTGGCGGGACGGATCCTTGGATCTTAATGGAAAAGATCTCAAATGATAGAACTGACTGAGAATGTATGAACATATATTAAAAGAATTTAAGCTGACACTTATGCTTAAAATATTTAATCACGATAGTCTGTTGACTAAGTTACTCATAGAACGACGAATGATTAACCAAGAATAAAAGTAAAAGTTATATATTATCTAATGACTGTTCACTTGTGTTTATCACAATGAAACGATTTTCTGAAATAATTGTTCAGTGAATAATAATATTAGTGTGTCAGGTTAAATCCCTCAATTCGACGTTTTACTGTACAATAAAGCCATTTAGTGATGAAGTGATTAGTTTCGGCTTTAAAATTAACCTTTTTATAGAAGATGCAACAATCATACTAAATATATTATGCACTTATTTGAAAGTTTCTGAACAAATTGCTAAGTAAACGTCTACTTTGAGGACTTTATAAAGTCTATGTAATTTTAAACAAGATGTCATATGAATTAGGAACATGTACATTGTGTATGGTATGATGGAAGTTGAAATATAGCTACTGACATACTAAATACTAATTAACAGAAATGAATAAATCACGTCAGTGAAATTAACAAGTTTTTTCTTTGGTTATCATTTAAGAATAGATATTTTCAACGGACCAAGTAATTATGGTTGGGAACCTTAGCATCAACATAGTCGTATTAACATTGAAAACAGAATGAGAAAAAAAATTCCCACCAGCTGATATGAATGAAAACGGCACTCGATAAATATACTAGTAGCAGATTAGCCACTGCGATACACTTTTTGATCACTTCCAGGATGAAATACACTACTTTTCATTTTTAGAAGAAACGTAGTCGCTACACGATTGAAATCTAACAACTGATATTAATTTAGTTTTAGAGCAAAATGAATAATCAGTAATAAGTGTTTATCAGTGAATTATTTTAGAGACCTTTACGTGAATTACCAGGTAACATGAACAAGGAATAGTCACAGATGATAACTTAAGAGATGGATGCATGTATTATACAGGTAAGTAGTAGAAAATTATTGGTAATCGATATCTACAAACTGATTTAAATTAAGTTTATCTACTCTGAAAATCTTTAGGAAAGAGAAGGTCTATTTCAGAAACCATTTAGCAAATATATTCTATGAATAAACTGGAAATCAGAAAGAAACACAATTCAATACTTCTCTAATGGATACCTTTGTATGATGAAAGTAGTCTTCGACATAGCTAGATTTCCAACAAGAACTGGGTAGGTTAGAAGTAAACATACTAGACTATTGTTATTTGATGAGGTGAAAATTTATCCATTCTAGATTTTATTTATACTGAAACACAATTTGACATTGTACTAATCAATATTAAGTCATTTTAATCATACTGCCATTGTAATTTTAGATTTATAAAAAATGTACATGAAAAGTAGTAGTTTAACTGGATTATTCTTCTTCACAATTACAGATCAGGTGTTGTCTTTTGATATTCTCATGGTTCAATAGGACAAAATATTCAAGCGAGTTATCATATTGGCTGTGTATTTGTATGTTTTTATGTGAAATTTATCCATATTACCAGACTAATCCATTCGGTTATATTAATGCCTTTTCCTCAAGAAAAACTATGGACAACAATCAAAAACATATAAGTTACAGGTAGTAGAAAAGAAAAACTTACTCCCA